ATTTGTCTTATGATAAAACTTGATGGATTAAAACAGAAAATGGCTAACTCGGGTTACCAAGCACGTGTTGAAAGCAGGTAAGGTAAGCAATTACTTGGTCCACAGGAGACTTACTGCCTTCTTCCTGCTCCCCCAAAACATTCAGTCAGTACCTTTTGCATGATCTGCTACAGACAGAGTCATCCCACTCATCCCCCCAATATAAATATCAATCATGCCCACCAGCCCACAAAAATAAAATGCCAAACAAGTAAGAGGTGTGCATGATAAACACGTCAATAGGGCAGAATTTCGCCATCAAACACTTCTGTATTAGCTGCGTCAGGTCTGTCCCGAAGCTCTGTATTGCAGCATTAGGATAGCCTTGTCAGGTAGCCTGGTGAGTTACACTCGAAAGGCTTAAATTTATCATTATTGAACACCGCCATGAACCAATAAAACGGTTAATTGAGGGTTTAACAGGGCAAAAATGGTGGTAAAAGTAAGTTCCATGCTTCAAATTGTCTCCTTCATTCCCTGTCAATTGTTCACTCTTGGGTGCATATCAAACATGTTTGGGCGGCTGGCGAATTAATCCAATTTAGGTATAAAATACGCACAAGTTTGCAGTTGGAACATCTTGCAGAGAAATTGGCCAACATTTTAAGCAGCAGATGGTACCTCTAAAGGCAATCCAAAAGGAAGGCAGATCATAGTGGTATCACATTCGTATGATACCAAGAAAAACAAAAGTAGTCACATAAATATAAAGACTGATCCTTTTCTGGCAAAATGTTGTTATTAGCTGATTTGACTTAAAATCTGTTAACATGAGTGCTCAAATGGCCATGTTCATCTTGTAACTTTAATTTAGAAGACATTGCTTGAATTTTTCACTCCTGTATTTCGGGAGTGATGCAATCTAGTGGTTAAGTTTCCTCGGGAAAAAATAAATACGTGGAGTAAAATTATCTACCAAGCCTTGCTGGTGTTTGCACCAGGTTCTGCTTTCGCGGTGTAGTGGTGAGAGCAAAAAAAATAGGGGATGCGTGAAAACCTTGCATTTGGCACACAGCTGCCGATTGTGATGCATTTTGCAAACAGACCAAACTTAATGCGTGCAAGCGGCTGGAGTCGCTGGGGTTCTTGGGCTTGGAGGTACCTGGAGCCCTTGCTCTGTGCATAGATAGACATGATTCAGATGTAGGTGAGGCAGGATATAGCCAGGTTCTGTGGTTAGGTGTCCAGGTGTCATAGGTGTCCAGGTTCTGTGGAGCCTCGTTTATGCTTGGTGGTTTCAAGTGAGCTCGGTTTTGGATGACATCTGAAAACCTCAGAGAGGGAAATAGGGGTTTGGCATGTGCGATTAGACAATGTCAGGCGGGAGTGAAAAATTCACATAAAATATGGAGAAAAGGAGTGAAAAATCCCTCCTCATAGGGTGTTGCCTTACACCCAAAGTCGGCAATTCTAGGACACTGATGGAGCAGGCCCCGCTTGCACGTGAACTCTGGCCGCGGCTGGCCGGCATCAAACGGTCTGTGCCGGCCCGAGCAGACGTCCGTCAGCTTTCCACGCACCGGTGCCAGGGGCGCGCCCAGGCGGCGGCGGGGCCCAGACGCAGCCCGCACGGAGCCAACAGCCCGCAACAGGCCATTGAAAACATTGCTTTGGCGAGTGAGGTAAGACATCACGTTGATAGTCTGCTTCGTCAGCGTTCCCTAAGCACTACCTGAGCCCTACTGGACGTAGGTGTAATCGATTTGGGAAGTGGCTTGCTTCCCGCAGATTTCTCAACGCGACGCTTTTGTCGCTCATTGCCGTCGCAAAACCGATGTTCATAATTTTATTTACAAATATATATATATATATATATATATATATATATTTCTTTCGCCATTTCTCGTTAAATGCTTCTATGTCAAATTGTCCTCGTGGTTCCGATTTGCCCCTCCCCTATCATCTCTAGATGATGACTGCACTCCTGCCACTGACAAACTAGCAACGTACCGCCGCACAAGCAAGCCTTGATTGGAAACAGATGTTGGAAGCCACGCTTCAGGCCGCGCATGGAGGCTCTTTGTGACATAAACAACTCTTGTCCCAAACTTTGTACATGCGGCGGTTCAGTACGGTAATTATGACGCCAGCGTGTCCGTTCCGCAACAGACCTCGACCTGCCGAAAGTATTCTGCCGCACGTGCCGCCGACCAATAGCATGCGTGCTTGCCTGCAAACGAACGGCGGGGCAGTTTCCGTGGCGTTCATGTTACGCCGATTCCTCCGAGAGGCGCTTGGAACATCGGGCTCTGGGAAATCTTAGTACACGGACAAGTTTGTTTAAGAATTGGCTCCAATCTCAAGCGTAACTCACCCAAATATGCATGTTTCCAGAGCATTTACGAGCCCCGACCGCGATACTCACAAGTGATCGGGGAGCAGGAGGTAGACCTGTCCGGACCGGACCAGAGACGCACAATTACAAGGCGCACCTCACTGACACGTCTCATCCAACAACCATGTCTCAACTCATCGACGGTGCGCTGTGCCAAATCCCCAGTGCGCCGCGGGGCACCGAGCGAGCCGCCTCAAGTGGCGAGACGCGTCATACCGGAGGCGCCCGGCGGCGGCTCGGCCTGCAGCTCAGGGTCAGGCCCGGCCGAGACGTGGGCGTGCGGCCTCAGGCTGCGATGTGGTCGCCGCACCAGCAGATGCCACGGCGCGCCGCTGTCATAAGCCACCAGCGGACGCAGTGGCAAGCCGCCAGTAGACGCGGCGGCCCGCTGGCGTAAGCCGCAAGCGGACGCGGCGGCCCGCTGTCGTAAGCCGTCAGTAAACGCGGCGGCCCGCTGTTATAAGTCGCCAGCGGACGCGGCAGCCCGCTGTTATAAGTCGCCAGCGGACGCGGCGGCCCGCTGTCGTAAGCCGCAAGCGGACGCGGCGGCCCGCTGTCGTAAGCCACCAGCGGACGCGGCGGCCCGCTGTTATAAGTCGCCAGCGGACGCGGCGGCCCGCTGTCGTAAGCCACCAGCGGACGCGGCGGCCCGCTGTTATAAGTCGCCAGCGGACGCGGCGGCCCGCTGTTATAAGTCGCCAGCGGACGCGGCGGCCCGCTGTCGTAAGCCGCAAGCGGACGCGGCGGCCCGCTGTCGTAAGCCACCAGCGGACGCGGCGGCCCGCTGCCGTAAGCCGCCAGTGGACGCGGCGGCCCGCTGTCATAAGCCACCAGCGGACGCGGCGGCCCGCTGTCGTAAGCCGCCAGTAGACGCGGCGGCCCGCTGTCGTAAGCCGCCAGTAGACGCGGCGGCCCGCTGTCGTAAGCCGCCAGTAGACGCGGCGGCCCGCTGTCGTAAGCCACCAGCGGACGCGGCGGCCCGCTGTTATAAGTCGCCAGCGGACGCGGCGGCCCGCTGTCGTCAGCCGCCAGCGGACGCGGCGGCCCGCTGTTATAAGTCGCCAGCGGACGCGGCGGCCCGCTGTCGTAAGCCACCAGCGGACGCGGCGGCCCGCTGTTATAAGTCGCCAGCGGACGCGGCGGCCCGCTGTTATAAGTCGCCAGCGGACGCGGCGGCCCGCTGTCGTAAGCCGCAAGCGGACGCGGCGGCCCGCTGTCGTAAGCCACCAGCGGACGCGGCGGCCCGCTGCCGTAAGCCGCCAGTGGACGCGGCGGCCCGCTGTCATAAGCCACCAGCGGACGCGGCGGCCCGCTGTCGTAAGCCGCAAGCGGACGCGGCGGCCCGCTGTCGTAAGCCGCCAGTGGACGCGGCGGCCCGCTGCCGTAAGCCGCCAGTGGACGCGGCGGCCCGCTGTCGTAAGCCACCAGCGGACGCGGCGGCCCGCTGTCGTAAGCCGCAAGCGGACGCGGCGGCCCGCTGTCGTAAGCCGCCAGTTCGCCAATGCCGCGTGCATTTGCACCATTCGGCCGACCCGGCCGACCCACGAGGCGCGCCGCAAAGCCTTTCACCACGCAGTGCCAGTCCGCTCCACTGTGCATCCGCGGCCACCGCCAGCCTGCTCTGACGCGTGTCGGCTTCTTTACTGGGGGAAGGGGAGGGTCAAGTCCAACCGACAACGGATAAGATACTACGCTCGCGGTCCTGACAGCTTCGTCATAAGCAGACGGGACGTCACGGGTATTAGTAGGCACCTGAGTCACCTTCGCACCAGTGTGCTCTTAGAATCCCTCTCTCTTGAGACCACCATCCCACTCTTGACTGCCGTACAGCCGAGATGGAACAGGTCTCGACGCGTTTAAGAGGGCCCTGAGCCGGCCCACAACGGTCATGCCGTACGTGAGGTACGATGAACGCCGGAACAGACGAGTACATAGCTGGAGTGTTTGCCTACTGGAACGACTGCGCTCGTGGAAATATAATTTTTAAGCCGAAAATCTTATCTAAAAACGTAAAACGAAGCCTGCCTGCAGCGCTGATAGGAATACTCCCGGGTCGTCAGGGTCGTGTGCGCACAAGCCACACGGACCACGGCGCATTATTTCGCTCACTGCACGCCAACCTCTTGTGGAGAACATCTGTGACTTGCTAAAAAAGGTGTGCTGTCACGGTGACGCACTCATCACCCCCACACTCTGCCCTGCCGCTAGGACAGCTGAGCAGCACCTCCATCGCGGTCGTCTCCCCCTCACAGCCGCTGCTTACAGGGACTCAACCCCCGTCGCGTCGTCTTATTACGCATCGCTAGTTTAGCTTTGCCGGATCCTGCGCCCAAGCTTCGCCAACGAAAAGGAATGGCATACTGTTCACTTCAATTCGAGGAAGAGGGAGCAAAGCTGGGCATATCATATACCAAACGTATCTCACAAACATCTCGAACATGCCATTCATTTTAACTACCGCGCCATTTCCTGAACAACTACCTTGACTACGTGCTTAAAATGCCCACACCCAAAACGACAAGGCGATCCCTTTCACCGACCGCGGCATCGTTGTAACGGAGCTGTGCGGCGTGGTCTGGCGCAATGGGGTAACCGCTGCCGTCCGGCGCAGCTGATCGGTACTCACCGACATGCTGAGGTCAGGCGACGGCGGGTACGGTGGGACACGGCTCTGTCCCGGCGCAGGCCCGTACTGCTCGCCACACGGCCGCCCGCTGCCGACCACACAGCCGGTCACGGACCAGGGCGACCCGGCCACACAGCCGGTCACGGACCAGGGTGACCCGGCCACACAGCCGGTCACGGACCAGGGCGACCCGACCACACAGCCGGTCACGTACCAGGGCGACCCGTCCACACAGCCGGTCACAGACCGGGGCGACCCGACCACACAGCCGGTCACAGACCAGGGCGACCAGACCACACAGCCGTCACAGGCGACCAGACCACACGGCCATCACAGGCGACCAGACCACACAGCCGGTCGCAGACCAGCGCGACCTGACCACACAGCCGGTCACAGACCAGGGCGACCCGACCACACAGCCGGTCACGGACCAGGGCGACCCGTCCACACAGCCAGTCATGAATCAGGGCGACGAGACCACGCAGCCGGTCACAGAAGGGCGACACCTCACCTCGCCCCGCACAACAGTACACAGACGGACTCGGCACCCAACGCCAAGTCTAAAAAATGATGGAACACTTGTCGTTTATAGCTCGCGGTGATCAATGCCACGGGACGGGGGCGGCACATCCAAAGAAAAACTCCACAGAAAGGCAACGTCACTCCGCGTAAGCCTCATACATAACGTCATTAAATGCTGTGAGGATCGCGCATTTGGCTAACTTCGCTGCCAAAGCAGAGCTATTCAGGCTAGAAATTCCGCTCCGGAATGCCCACGTCTCGCACACATCGTGCAGCAGTTCAACAATCCTGCCAAGACGCCGTAGCCGTTCTCAATCATGAGCCCCAGCGTCACAGACGTGACCTGAGCAGGGCTAGGGAGCGGCGATCCGTGGCGACCCCGCACCAACATCGACCCAGCTACCGGATGATTAAATGCCGCCGCCGGCAACATCGACTCGCTGGATCCCGCCGCCGCCGGGCCAGCCATGCCACGACGAGCCACGACGTCCAGCCCAGCCAAACAGAGGGCGTTCAGTCGACCCAGCACAGCACGTCCAGCAGGTTCCGCCGCGGATCGTGCAGGCAGCTAGGCATAGCTCGCGCAGCCAAAGCACACACGGCTCATCCATCCCGCGGCACAGCTCGTCCAGGTCGACCCAATGCGACTCGTCCAACCGGACCGGTCTCAGCGCGGCTTCCAATCACGAGGCCGAAGCCAGAGCCGCATCTGGTGTACGACGTTGTTTTAGCGAAACTAAAACCATATTCGCGTCCGTCACAACTGCATCAGACCACAAGAAAAATCCGGGTTTTGGGGAGTGATTCCGGATTTCCGAACTGGGTTTTGCGGATTGATTCAGACGAAGCCTTCCCCAAATGTAAGATTGCATCACGGATTTTTTTTTTGGGGGGGGGGGAGGCGGGAGTTCTTTATCGTTGTGTCAGTATAAGGGCGGCGTTCCAGTCATTTAGTTCTCCGGCCGTCGTCAGCCATTAATTAACCCTGAGATGACCGGATGGCTTTATAAAGCGGATAAGCGTGGCAGCCTCGGGAAGCAATGTGGCATATTGGGCTGACAGGACAGGGGAAAATAGTTGCGTGAGGTGAGGCAGAAGCTGCACTGAAATGATGCAAGGCTAAAGCCAGCTGTTCAAGGTCCTATGAAAATGAGGAGGGGTCGATAATTCAAAGTTGTTCGGATCCAAAGCCGAAACTAAAGCCAGCCGTTCAAAAACGACAACAGCCCAAGACAAAGCCAACTGGTCAACATGGCCAGGAGCCAAAGCCCAGGCCAGCTGTGGACAATGACTCAAACCAGCAGCCAAGCCCACAACCGTGTATGAAACGGCACTCCATCACTTATCGGCCAGGAAAGTGCCAACCTATCAAAATCGGCTCAAGTGACCTGTCACAAGGCAGACAATGCGAAGAAAAGCCTGGCATTATCCTGTGAAGACCTCCATGTTTAGATATTTGCCCTCACTGACCCTGGATGACCTTACCTATTTCTATCTCATAGATCAGGCCTTGCAGTTTAAAAAATACAGGAAATGAATGCTGGGGTCCCCTGGAGCACACAATCTGTGACAACAAAAAATTACCAGACACCATAACATGAAATATGACCAAGATGACAATAGCCAAGACTACAATCGCCTGAGATCTGTGAAATATAAGCCCCAAAATTGTCATGTAGTGTGAGGGAAAGCTCAAAACTCAACTAGTGACACAATTTATCATTTCAGAGGTTCTGGATCTACTTCAGTGGTTGATGCATTCAGTGGTTCTGGATCTACTTCATTGGCCATGGGGTATTTTGAGGTCTCTGATCCAGCGAGAGTCTTTTATGGATGGGGGAAAGCAGTTGCTGCCCTGATCCCCCCCCCCCCTCTTCCCACATCTGGCATCCATAGACAAGTCATCACTGATCATTATCACATTCATGGGGTTTTAGGCATTTGTACCACCATAGCTGGCAAGTCACAAAATCAATAAAACACTGTGAATATGGCACCTGACTCCCAATGAAATTGATCAGTAATGGACTGATGTTTATCACACAAAAATGGAAAATGCTGGACTTAAACATCAGGGGACTCAATATTATTCAAACTAAAAGTACATACATTTTCATTCTAATCCATTTTGGCTCAGTTCCATATGTCATATTAATACAAGAGCAGCCTCTAACTTTAACACACTGCACCAACAGCCCTGAAGAAGGGAAGTCCTGGATGGCCCCCAGGCAGTCCCAGTTACATGACCAGTCACCTGGCAGATCACTGGCAGACTCATACTCAGAGTCATGTGTTGTCCAAGTCACTTATGTTCAACTGTATGTACAGCTGGACTCCAGGACAAGACAATTTTGGCAGGCCATTGTCAATTGAATCTCATCCAAATCTGTGTGGGTCTGTTTGCAAGTTTGCAAGCAAGTTGCAAGTTTAGTCAACCATATTGACAGGAATCATGGACAAGTAAACTCCCACTGAATTTGCGCCAGGGCCCATGTTAAAAACCATAATCTACGTTTACCACATAATTGGAGCCAAGCACTTGAATTCTGGATCCTGAATAAGGATTTGGATGTGCATTATTTTCACTGAGTTTTTTATGTTCTACAGGCATTCATTCCCATTTCATATCACAGTGCATTGGACCATGCCTGGGCCTTCTCTTCATAGCTCAACCCTGTTTACTTGGCTCCAAATCCAACCCAAAGCCATGTGGCTGGATTCCAGAATCAGTTCTGATAGGTCTATTCTAGTGGCAATAATCAAGCATATAAACTATTTTACAGGCTAGCAAAGGTGCAAAGTCAACATTCCCATTAATGCTAACAGTAAAGCATGGCATGCTATTCTTGATGGATACCTGATGCCTGTAGAAGTCATAACAGCACTCATTTCCTTTAGAGTTAAAGTTCTTGCTTGGGTTAATTCTGTGGTCAGGGATGTTTCATTGAGATTTCCAGTATGGGCTCTGGCCCCTTTGAGGACTGGAGCCTTCAACATTTTTTTACCTCAAATTGTTTGCTTTAAGATTATAAAATTAAGAGAAACCTTCATGTCTTAAATAGCATGGGTCTTAAATTATTTTTCACCCAAAACAATTTGAAAACCCATAACAAATTGGCCTGGCATGAGTTGGTTTTATGTAAGCAGGAGGTTTAGGGCATCAATGCTGTGAAAGTGTCTAGTGCACTGGTTGTTATTTTTCTGCAGCCTTACCCAAATCATTTACCAGGATTATGCATGTTATAACTTGTTATATGATCCCAGAAAGTATGGTCTGATTAACTCACTTACACTCTCTTACCTTGAAAGGAATTATTTCTACACAACAAAAATAATTGCAATTTGACAATTTGATCAGCTGCCCCAGCAGCATGTCAAGTCAAACCCATGCTGCACTTGCTGAAAGTACCTGCATTGCCCGCTGCATGACTAGTTTTTATATGCCTCAGAATGCTCTATGCCTTGCATACTGAATTCAGTGTGTACTAGTGTTAAACCTGCAAAGGCAATGTTCACAATGTTCACAACCACCACCCCATCCCCATGCTGACGGCTGTGCCACTTCCTGTACATAATCTTTGCCATTTATGCTGCGCAAATTATGACTTCAGGCATGCTTTCCGCGTGATGATGCAAAAATAAAGCACATGCATGCCAGAAATCAGCGCATTTCTTCACTTTGGGCAACTCACTCGACCTGCATCTGGAATGAAATCCACTTGGCGCATTCCCCTGTCGACGGCACATTTGGGTAACCACCACACACTGACCTTACACAATCCCGCAAGACATCGAGGCTGTTTCTGAGTATCCAGATGTGATGTCCCGCCCCCCACCCCGCAGCAGAATTCGCACAAATGCCACCACCGCCAACTCCGCACCTCTCCGACCTGCGCTGTAGCTTCCACAATATCCGCCGAGTTTCTTGTCCGTTCTTAAGGATGCTGGAAGAAATCCTTAGCGACAAAGTGAGTTGGTAGCCCGGCGCATCCAGTACGGGCGTAAATTCCTACTGTTTGCCTTCGCGCAGGTGCAAATCAAATTTCATCGCGACAGGCTTGGTGAAACGGACTCCAAAGGAAAGAATATGTCATCTTATCAGGTTCTCTTAGCTGGATAGGTTCTTATGGTCTGAAAAGAATGATCAGTCAACGGTGTGAGAAAAGGGATTTTGCAGTGAACATATATTTTTTAGATGTGGCAGTTCACACATTGCTTGGGTAGCGATTTCTCCGATTTTCTGGGCGGGTCATAGCAGTGGAAGTCGGCAGAAGGGAAGAGGTACGAAAAGTTATCGGATTTCGTCCAACCGTGTGGGATCCGTCGCAAGGACCGGGCTGCGGCTCGCGGCCCCCAGTAGCGTTCGCAGTGTCAAATTCCATAGGCCTGACTCCGTGCCGCTGTTTTTTTTTTTTGCAGTGCCTACTGGCCTGCCGCGGGTAAACGCAGCTGGCCTGCGTGCACAGCCCGCTCCGACGCGACAGAGACCGGCACCTGGTGTGACGGCGCCACGGCTCGCGCCGGGAGGGAGGGTGGGCCACTGCGTAGCGCCGTTCGGCCGCTCACATTGGAGAATTAACCGGACCACGGGCGGCTCACGTATGTTTCGCGCGTGGACGCTTACCAATGCGGCACACGATGCGTTCCTGATGAGACTCCGTCCCAGCTGCACCGGCCAACGGTGGCGGCAGAGCTTGGCCTTTGCTTCACATAAGGTGAAACACAGGTAACAGCGGCGATGCAATCTCTTTTCTATTTTAAAACTGACGTGTATAACTGCACAATTGAATAACTCAACAACAACCCACAAATACGTCACTGTTGCACAGGATTAGCGTTTTATTACACCTCACATCTTCACTTTCCATCTATAATGTTCACACACATGTCGAATATAATGCCCCATTCACGATGTTGGCAACCATTTAGCATAGTTAAGCAAATACGGGACTTACTACAGGTGACGTCTTTAAACGAGCTGACTACCAATTAGTACCGTCACGCAAGGAGAGGCCTGTCGAGAAGATAGTTTGGAGGACGTCATAAATGAAGAGCCAATGTTTTTCGTCAGCTACGATCAAGACATCAACGCATCAACACATCGTAAACATAGCTACACATCAGCATGACAAACGATGCCATTCTGGGAGTAATATCTGCCGGCGATGTAAATCGCTCATAGGCCGACATGACCTTTTTTGTTCGAATCATCCCTTGACATATTGGCAACCGCCGTCACAGGCCAGTAGCGTTATACGTTCCTGATGAGACTTCGCCCCGGATGTACGGCTCCCCGGCTAGAACGCTTACAATAGCATGGGAGGAGTGCAGTTGTGTGCGGTTGACAGCACTGCTCTAGGCCCGTCAACTGCCAGTACAGCGCACTTCTCTTATTACGAATCTATTTTACTCAGTCGACGTCATAAATGAAGAGCCAATGTTTTTCGTCAGCTACGATCAAGACATCAACGCATCAACACATCGTAAACATAGCACTGACAGCACTGCTCTAGGCCCGTCAACTGCCAGTACAGCGCACTTCTCTTATTACGAATCTATTTTACTCAGTCGACGTCACCCCCTTCTGCCCCCCCCCCCCCCCCCCCCTCTCCCTCCACCCACCCAGTGTCTCATTCAACGCTGGGTGGCCGGCTGCAACGGCGATTTGCAAAGTTCAGTAGTGATATTTCCAATACATTGAGTAGAGCAAGCCTTATTTGACCTTATGCACACTATGTCACCTTGGGAGAACTGTCGGCGAGCGTTGTAAATCGCTGGTCGACTGAAATGACCCTTATTGTTGCAACCATTCCTTGACGGTACATTGCCAACTGCGACCGGCCTAACAGTAGCGCTATGATCACGATGCAGCAGTGCGGGAAAAATACATGTCTTCGCATGCGAAGAGTGCAATTGTGTGCACTCGATAGCCTTGCGATCGGGTCATCCCCTAACAGTACAGCGCACCTATTTTATTACGGGATCCATTTTATTCTCCCCTTCCGTCCCCCCCCCCCCCCGTGTCGCGCTCAAAGCTGACTGGGTGACTGAACGGGTCATTGGTAAGGAAATAGTGTCTTATTCAAAATAGAGTTAAAATATTAGTCGTGCTCTTCGAGTGCAGCCATGGACACACAAAGTCAATGTGTGAGTACTATCCGCTTCTGATATCAAACGCTGATCGGCCGACATTTCATTTTGCACTCAGATTATCTCTCGACGGCGCATTGCTTACTACTGCTGGTCAGTCCTACGCACAGCGGGCGGGAAAAAAATGTTGACAATGGCGCTCAAAGTGTTCGACTGTGTGTGTTAGATAGCACTGGTATAGGGCTAAAACTAGCTGTGTGAAGTTGTCGCTTACTTGTAGTACTTAAAGCTCGTCGAGAGATGACAGCTTTGACTGGAAGTATTTGCTGAACCAAATATCGTTATTTGCTCGTGTTTTGGGCCTTTCTTACCATGTTCTTGCATGTTTGTTTGTGAGCTTTGGATGTTTACTCGTATTCACATACTCGGTTATGGCGTTGTTCTTAAGGAATTTCATTATGTTTTATTTTCGTCATGACTTCCTAGCTTTGAACGCCACCTAGCCTGTGGGATGGCAGGATTTGAACGTCGTTGCTATGGCATCATGCACGCCTGCATGGCCTTGACAAAGCCTTCACGAAAATATTCGCGGGTGTGTAGCTCAAAACTAGGGTGCTTCCGGTCTTAAAATGGATAAAAAATTAAACTGCACCAAATGATCTTCAAAATGGTTGTCTATCTCAAAACCCCATACAAATGTGGAACACTCCCTTTAAAGGAAGTGTTCTGCATTGTAGCATTGGAAGATATTAAAGCAAGCATCAAACATGATAGAATAAGCTCACTTTTAACTATAGGTTTACCTTTCAGTGGAAAGGCTGCTGTAGACAACACAATCTCGTTGCTTTTATAAATATGCTCCTCAATACGTCTTAGTTTGATTACGTCATCGTGCCTTACACAATACTGATTGACAACCAAGTGAGAGCCGTTACATCTGCAAATCATGCTCACGAGCAACAGATATGAACAGCTCGACCGCATCATAATTACATTTTGATCGGCCTTCATCGCCGCATGGCCAATGGAACGACACGATTTAAATGACGTTATTGTGGCTTGGTGGATGCCTGGGTGACACTGAAAAATCCCCCCCCCAAAAAAAACCCTTGAAATAGTCTCTTGAACGAGTCCACTCAGTCCGCACATCTTCGTGAGCGTGTAGCTCAGAGGCTAGAAAGATTTAAGGCTTTAGAAGGGCAGGGATGTGAACTGTTCCAAACGATCTTCAAGACGCCTGCTTCAGTTCTAAACCTCATACAAATGTGGAACACTCCCTTTACGTCACATTTTGTTTCTCGCGGCTGGCGCGAGAGTGCCCACACAATGTCCTTCAGGGAGCATTGCCGACGGACAATATAAGTGGGTGGTCGGGCGGCGGGGCCCCGTTTTTCAAATCAATCATTGACTGCGCATTGCTCTTTGCGGAGGTCCGTTCCGTAGCGTGATGGACAAGAATATGGTGGTCCGGCAATCATACTCATAATCGTCGCGAAATGTGCGACTCTGTGCATTCGATAGTGTTGGTACATGGCTATCAGTTGCCGTTACCACGCACCTGTCCGATTACGTCACCCGTCGTGTGCGGTCCACTCTCTAGAGCCTCACACAACGCCTAAACTATATCTAAGTTTGGAAATCGCCCCGGCGGATAGCACGTTACCGTTGCGTGAGGCACTATGGTGGCCAACTAAAAAAAGTGGATGCCTTAAATGATAAGCTTGTTGCCCTGGAGTCTGACAGCCCTCCAGGACACGTTGCACGTTATATGTCCAAATGCACGTCCGTTGCACGTCCAAATGCACGTTGCGAGCAGTCGCACTCTTCGCGCATGTTATAAGTGATATCCCGTGCCGACGTATACTGTCCATAATGTTTCGGAAAGACCCGCCTCAGTTAGAAATGTGCCGTCAATAGGCGATTTGAACCAAAAAGATCAAAGGTCGTTCGATGGGTGATTTGCGCTGCCGGCCAATATTGCCACCACAAGGGTATCGTTTGCACATGGTTACATCCGCCACACAAGACTAATAGTATTTTACATTTGATGCTGTCACTTTGAAAATCATCGCGGCGGCCGACCAACCATTGTCAGGGTTGGTCTGAGGCGGGTTCTAAATATATTTCCTTCGTCAGTGCATACTGGTTATCACGCTACGGGCCCAAAGGCCGCAGTCTAACATGTTCTGTGAAGGTGTTATTTGGAAAAGGGTCGTGTTGCCCCATCAGCAGTTCACATTTCCGGCTCACAGTGTTTCCATGGCATCATGCGCACATGGTCGCCTCCGTCGCGCACGACTGCGTGCACTTTGGGTTTCACGCCGTAACTTTGCAAATCGCCGCTGCTGCAATCACGCTGGCGTTCAGTGAGATAAAAGGGGGGGGGGGGGGAGTTGACTATGTGCAATGGATGCTGGATTCGGACAAGTTTGTTGCAATTGTATGCCGATTAAGCTACAGCAGCGCTATCGAGGCCAGCCATTCGCACGCTTCACGCGTGATAAGGAGTGTTTTTTTTTTCGGACCGCCTTATAATCCGCCGACGGGCTAATTACATTGTCGGCCATAAGGCTTCTACAGTTATCTCGTGTGGAACTGAACAAGTAGCGACAAGTAGGGACAGGACTGAAAAGCAGCGGCAGACGCCAAAACACAGTCAGCCGTGAGCGAGGTTCACACGACCGCACGTGCTGCTCATCAGGGATTGTAAACATGCCGGTCTGTGGTCAGGGGATATCACTCTCCAAAATCATTTGGGGCGGTGGGCTGGGACAATAAATTTGACCTAACCGACTCGCAGATTCTTACTTTTCCGGGATTTCTGTCACTTTGTTTTGCGTTCGTTAGATTTAAAATGCGACCAAAAGATTTTTTTCTGTTTCAGAATTGTTTCGATGTTAAGGAATGTTAAATGATATATGCACACACACACACACAACACACACACACACACCACAACACACACACACACACACCACACACACACACACACCACACACACACACACACACACACACACACACCCACACACACACCACACACACACACACACACACACACACACACACACACACAACACACACACACCACACACACACACACACACAACACACACCACACACACACACACACACACACACACACACACACGCACGCACGCACGCACGCACGCACGCACGCACGCACGCACACATATATATATATATATATATATATATATATATATATATGTATATGATATATATATATATATACAAATATATATATATATATATATACACAAATATATATATATATATATATATACGTATGTATGTATATGTAAATAATTGATGACATGATATTGATAGTGATGCGCTTAGGTACCTGATGCACCAGCAGTTCAGACGCTTGGTGCATTTCATTGGCCCAGTATTCCTATTTTCACATATGGATTCAGGAGGGGGATGCTCAGAGCAGCATTAATGGGCTTAGGTCGACGTCGGAGGAGGGGACTCAGGCCCCCGAAAGTACATGAGGTGACACCACGTCTATGGATTCATGTCATCGCGGCTCTTGAATGACCGTGGCCAAACAAACTATGCTGAGGGGTGAAGAAAATGCAATTATTCGAGCCCACTGGCTGTCGTATGAATCGCACAGAAATTGATAATTTGTGTAGTTAACATAGCATGGGCTACGAATAACGGTATCACAGGCAAATATTGGGTCATTACCCCCAGTTTGGCTGTCGATAATTCTACCGACATGCTACATTGGCGTTAAACGCACAGGCAGATAAACGTCTTAACGACGCAACATACGTGGCTCGACACCCGTGATGACTATGCAGACAGGTGAGAACCGAGCACTGTCAGCCCCGCGCATAGGTACGGTCCGAATGCGGCTGGCCCCGCAGACAGGTGGAGACTGAGCACGGCAGAACATTAATAGGCACGGACCGAGCACGGTAGCTGTGCATACGGGCATGGACCGAGCACGGTGCCTGTGCATAAGGGCACAGACCGAGCACGGTAGCTGTGCATAGGGCACGGACCGAGCACGGTAGCTGTGCGTACGGACACGGACCGAGCACGGTAGCTGTGCATGCGGGCACGGACCGAACATGGTAGCTGTGCATACGGGCACGGGCCGAACACTGCCGTTTGTGGAAATGCGCACCGTGGTATATGACGCTGCCGTTTTTGACGTCCAGAGCACGGCAGCGACGGAACGAGCACGACAGGCACGGAACGAGCACGAGAGCGGCGTGAACAGGCACGTTCCGATCACAGCAGCGACGTGGACAGGTACGTCCCGAGCACGGCAGCGACGTGGACAGTTAGTCTCGAGCACGATAGGGTCGTGGACAGGTGCAGAACGAGCACGGCATGCCCGCGGCCCATCATGTTCTTCGGCCGATAAAGCTGGGCTACTTCCGCAAGACTGCCGAACTGGGCAGGTCGGAGTCAGTCTACTGGACCTAGCAGATCAAAAACCTCACCCAGCAGGAGATGCACCTCGAGCGCTTCGCCATGAAGGTGGACCTTTCCTCGCGCGAGACCATGACCGACGCAAGGTGGCAAGTGCAATGACGGAAATTGGCTCATTGCAACGATGTCTTTTCTGCAAGGCAGCGCCAAAGGTCATGAACGATCTGCAGCACATCCGGCAACTTGGAGTCAGCAAAAACCACTTGCAATTTGGTGTCAGCACTCTGCACGCATGGATAAGGGTTTTTGAGTGCATGCTCCCCATCACCTATCGTCTTGAGCTACAGAAGTGGTAGACCAGGTCAAAGGACAAAAGGAGCAGGTGCAACAGAAGACAAAAGCAAGATAAGCAGCGTTTTGGGAAAGACTCCATTTTCATGTAGACCGCCTGAGAGTTGCAGGAAATGGCCCTCAAACAATACAGCCCCTGGCAATACAGCCCGGCTGACCTTCGCAAAGGAAGCGGTCTTTGCTGAGATCATCGGGATCGGCGAGTGCCTAATTCGACAGCTGCACACTGCCTTTTACAATCCATGGCATCCGGATACCAAAAAGACGGTGAGAAACTAGGTGCCTCCTGCCATGGAACAGGCGAACTGCATATATACCTCCCTTCGTGGCATCCAGTGCCCGTGTCCGCGCACCGAGTACTTCTCGATGAGGCAGCCGTCATTAACGCACTGCCAATGCCACTCGAACTCTTCAGCGAAGAAGCACAAGAGTCTCGCAATAAGGGCGTACAAGCGTACTATGTGGGACACGCTAAATAATGCATGCATAACATCGCCGACCAGATTGGATACATGCTGGTCACCATCAGTGGTCCTGTGACCAGCTCGTCGGCGGTCAGTGCACGTAGTCAAAGAACTTCCAAGGGCAAAACTGCGCTGTCGGAAGAGGCATTCGCCATTCTACAACACGGCCCTCCCAGAGCCAGGTCATGTATAGTAGACTACGACACCAGCGATACTGATTTCGACTAGACAAGTAAGGATCAACGTGCAAGACCTGATTGACTTCTTGCGCCACATACAAATGTGCTAAGCAATTGTTTTGATCATCAGTAGTTAGAAAATAATGCTCAACTCAAGTTCAACCTGTAAAAGTACCTCACACACGAAATTAATTCCAATTAACTGGCTGAAATATCATAACAGGTCAGTAGCCTCAACTTGAACCAAAAACAAGTCGGAAGTTTGACCTTTTCATACAACAAAAATGGAGTGCAGATTAGGATTATGCATGGACAACTGGTTTGAGACAGGCAATAGAATTAATCTTCATTCACTGAATTAATCTCACTTTTGAGGTCAATCTGGCCCATCGTACACTGACAGCGGCGCGACAACGGGGTACAGGGCCGCACGACTCTGAAAAAAAACATTGTAATGGCTTGCTGCTTAAAGTTGCCATGTACATTATCATGCTCGTCGTTAAATTTTGACGCAATGGGTTTGCTATTCAAATGCGTATGCCACTATCAGTTTGTTCGTTTCTGGGTGCGAAGACAGCCCGATGTTCCTGCCTCCCTATTCCGAATAAGCGTCCGCCCATACATCTTCACTTTTCACACGCCATTGAATCTGAAAGCTTCACCGCATATAGCTTGCAAATCACATGACCATCCTCGCTATAAAAGTGCATGTAGTCAGCTCGCGCGTGTTATATACAACCAAACGTCCAGCAGCTTTTCCAATATTTGTACTAATATTTCGACGGGCCGGTTGGATCTCAGCACCGTCGTCTAGATTCCCATCGACCATTTAGTCCTTGAGCCAATGACGTCACGATAAGGCGAAGATGCGAGAATCGCCGGACGGTTTTATACCACTCTTATACCGCCTTGGGCTTGAGAGGCGGGCGGCGTGTTTGGTGGGTGTGAGGCCCGGACCGCCTACAACGGGGAGAGATTTGTGTTCTCATGGCGATGAAATGGTTGCTTAAGTGAAATCAGTTTTTCTGACCTGGCACTGTTTGATTTTTCACATTTATATGCCATGGCGTTTGTTCTTCGTCGATTCGGGAGAACCTTACCATCGCTGGGGGTCTGCCAGGTAAGAGCTTCTCAGTGATATTAGCTTTGGAGGAGTACCTGGTGTCCTACACACTACCAGCAACAGTGAACTTTCAGATGATAGTATAAGTTGTCATGAAAAGCATGATATTCGTAGGCAACTGCTTCTTTGCAATTTAGGTGATTGGTTCTTTTTGAAAATGGTTGAAAAATCACCACTTGTATAGTGTAAGGTCCAGTCTGGATGGTTCTTGATGTCGAGTGTGATATGTTTTTGAACGCACTAATCATACATGGTTGAGAATGCACTGTTGTATGTGGTGACATATATGTTCAGAAAAAGCCAGTCATATGCAAGGGTGTAGGTGTACTTTCCTACCTAACGTTAGAAAAAATCATTGCACACCATTCGTCGTGTTTAAGGCGGCACGCATCATAAATAACCTCAAAACAGGTAGAATCTGCGGCGCTCGGGAGCTCGCCATCATAATTATAAAAAATTGAAGGTAAGATAATGAATCTACCTGTTCTGTGATTATTTACGAGATGTCCTGCCTTAAACACGACGAATGGTTTACTTTAGTCCCGTACATTTTGTAGAGTTCTTGGTAAGCAGAAATATTGTATTTACGCAACGGCAACGCAGAAACGGCGCTGGGGAGTCAAGGCGGTGCGGTGCGCGCGGCGCTCGGGGGCCCGCTATCGAAGGTATTGAAATTTGAAGGTAGGAGCATGATTCTACCTGTTTTGAGATTATTTATGTCCTGCCTTAAACACGATGAATGGTGTACAATGATTTTTTCTAATGTTAGGTAGGAAAGTACACCCTGACCTATGCAAGATGTCTTGCTTAGTTTTCAATCAATGTGCATTTTTGCTTATGAGTGTTTGTTCTTATGCTGTTTCTGACAGTGCATTGTCAGTCTCCTAATAGGTCTTGTGTTGTGTTTTTTTAACCAGTTTGAGAGGTGCAAGAAGACAAGTTATTGGTGACAAACAATATTGCTCTACTGGCAATGATGCTTCTGAAGATAGTGAAAACAAAGCCAAGATAAAAGCTAAAGCTGAAGAAAAAAGAAAAGCAGCTAAGCTCAAGCTCAATGATTTGCTTGAGTCCATTCAGAAGGTACTGTTATATTGCAGGGAAAGAGGTTCACAGACCTGTTTTTTTATTTTTGCCATGGCTTATATAAAGTGAGTGGGGATCTTCATATGTATTTCTTGTAGAAAAGGTGTGTATTATTTGCCTTACTAGATGCTGACAGATTATTTAGATGCTAGTTTTCCACTTATATATATATATATATATATATATATATATATATATATATATATATATATATATATATATATATATATATATATGTATGTATCCATTCTCATTAAGCTCTCTTAAGATTGTTTCATTCTCCAGCCCAGGTTATGTCATCAGCATGGTTTAGTCCAACTACATTAAGTTTTATGCTAGTTGGCAGTCAGGGCTAGGGCCCTGTGGACAAGCAGGAAGTTGCAGTTATTTTCTGTGCAGATACTCCAGCAGCTACCCACATTCTTGTGCCCCAGGCCTGACTACTTTCATGCAACAGCTGCTTGTGATCATCAAGGACTCTGCTGGTAAAAGCCTTCCTTGGCCAGGTCTAGTTACCCATTTATCACTATGGCTATCATGCTCTGTCTGTTATACATTTGATGTAGAACAGATTGGGGTGCTGGAGCTTGCTTTTTTGCTCCTGGTATGGAAGGTGGCTGATGTAAACCAGCAGGGTAGCACAGTGCTATACTCTCAACTAGATCACATTCTTTCTGGTTGAGATACCCTTTCCTGCTGTACCTGGAGCAAGGTCATACTGATGCCTTGAATGATAGAGGCTCGGTTTGTAAGTACATGTGCTTTAAGAAGCAGTATCAGGATTCAAGGGAGTAGATTTCATTGCAAGCCCATGTCAGATACCAGCCATGTCATTGAGTGTATGTCACCATCAGCTCCTGATGGGGGTTGGCCACGCCATGTCCACCAGACATCAGCAGTGCCCAGTGACAAGGATGGTGGCGTGTCTGGCCGACTGGCACGACCAGGCCGCCAGCCGCGGCCCCGACATGTGGTGGCACGGCCAGACCGGCCTGCCCCTGCCTCTGCCCCCACCCCCACCGCCACTTCTGCTGCTGCTCCCACACAGCCTCCGCCAGTCAAACAGCTAACCCTGGGTGAGTGTGATGCTGCATTCCAGGGGATTTGTGGTGGTGCCCGTGGGGGGCTGAGCTGACTGACAAGGTGCAGGCCTGGGTCCCTTGGCGTGGAGGTGATGTGATGCAGACTGGCCCTGTGTATCACTGCCAGGTCTTAGATTGTACTGCACTGACCAGATGTGTCATGTTGAAATTATCTGAAGGGTTCAGGTTGCATGATATGCTGGTCCAATCAGAATACATTTTGGAAGTCCTGACTTGAAAGCAAGTCAATTCACAACAATTAACAGCTTGTCTACCCAAAAGCAGAAGTGTAAAAACAGCGCAACAGCGAGAAAATCAGCTGGAGCAAGAAATTGCTTTGTTCTATATTATCAGATGTTGTGGGGGTGCAGGCAAACACTTGTTCGTGAGTGCTTAAGCATGCACTGCTTTATGAAATCTGCGGCTGGTGGCCAGTCGAGCATGTGCTGCTGATGTTGATGGGGGTGACTGACTCCACACACGTGTCGCAGACGAGGAGGTGGCGCAGGCGGCTCGCGACGTCGCCTCCTCGCTCGGCGGAGACACGGCGCGCACCGAGGCCGAGCTGCTGTTCAAGCTCAATGGGGAGGACGGGGCGTCGGCCGACCGGCCGCAGCTCAGGTAGGTCATCAGAACCAGCTCTGGTGCGGGTCAGGACCGCCCGCAGCTCAGGTGGATCATCAGAATCAGCTCTGGTGCGGGTCAGGACCGCCCGCAGCTCAGGTAGGTCATCAGAATCAGCTCCGGTGCTGGTCAGGACCGGCCGCAGCTCAGGTAGATCATCAGAATCAGCTCTGGCGCGGGTCAGGACCGGCCGCAGCTCAGGTAGGTCATCAGAACCAGCTCCGGTGCGGGTCAGGACCGATCGGAGCTCAGGTAGGTCATCAGAACCAGCTCATGTACGGGTCAGGACCGATCGGAGCTCAGGCGGATCAACAGAGGCAGCTCCGGTGCGGCTCAAGACCGATCGGAACTCAGCGACGGGCTAGGAATGGCACGATTCAAGGCCTACCTCAGAACTGGGCCAGGAATGGCATCAGCTCATATGTGGCCTCTGGATCAATGTCAACCTCAGGCACGTAAAGGAGCCGACCCAGGTTACGGACCTGGACCAGGCGTGGCTTGGGCGCCTACGCCGGGCCAACGGCGCTGCCGCCGGCCAGCGGACTCCAGCGGTCCCTCCCGGCCGCCGCCCCTTGCCAGCTCAGGCACGGACCACTCTCGTGTATGGGTTTAGGTATGCACCGCGCTTGGCCACAACCCACGCACAGGAGAGTCGGCCTTATTTTTGGGACCAGGGTTGGCCATAGATGGGGTACGGAGAGGAGCTGGTCTAGGTCCGGGCGCGGCCCAGGATCGGCTCCATCCGTGATGTGGAAATGGAGTGTCCAGCCGGTGCTCCTCAACCATTGTTCTGTCTTCATGCAGCCCACGTCATGCATTTCCTTGGCAAGTTGTGGAAGGATGGCAACTCATCCCGCATGGGCCGATCTCGTTGGGCGGATAAGACGAATTCATTACTTGCGTACTGTTCTCAGCCAGAAGCTGATGTTCGGTGGCAGTGAGATGTATGTTCGTGCCGCACGCCACCGTCCACGCCGCGTTAGATGTCTGGTCGATATCCTCACCCCATCCACAGCAGTCTCCGATGAGGTAATGCCTGGTTAATTATAAGATTATCCCGCACACCACCACCCTCAGTGAGATGATATCTGGTTAACATTCGGTTCATCCTTCACGTGCCACTTCCAGTGAGCTGATGAAGCGCACGCGCTCACCCAGCCCGCCGCCGTGCCGGCAGTGAGCTGATGTCCGGTATGAAGGTGGACCAGCGGCCGGCACCGGGCCGCTCGCAGCAGGTGCGTCACCAGCTGGGCGAGCGGCGCGCCGACGCTGTGGGCCGGGTCCGCCGCGAGCGGGCTGAGACGCCCGGCCAGCAGCGGGCGCCGTCCGAGCGGCACTCGCCTCCCGAACACGTGCAGCTGTACACGGGCGACGCGCTCGGCATCTTCACCGACCAGGGGCGGGTCGGCGCCAGCGGTGAGCGTGACAGCGACGGCCGCGCGCCGCCGGCCGCAGGCGCAGGGCTTCAACACGACTATTGCTGTTCCCTGAGGTGCCGATCACCCTGCAGTATAACTGCGTGCCCGGAAAGGCTTGTTTATCGAAACTTGCGGTATTGAATCAGCGGGTGCTTGCATGTGGGGCCTTTTAACATTCACAGATTTCACAGATTTCAAGGCACGAAACATACGACTGCATAGCAATTCAAGTGTTACAGTAACGTGACGGGCCATGATTTAGGCCATGATTTGTTGAATCTGCATCAGTAAGCACACAGACTCCACCTGATCAATGCATGCCAGAGGTTGTTGTAAGGAGCAAGAAACTCATGTATAACCATAGCTCGTTGCACAACGGCATCCGCTGTACTGCTCTCACGCCCCCATACAGTGGTATGCTGACTTGACCTGCTGTAAAGGACTCGCTCATGCCGGTGTCCGGATTCTGAGGGAATCCGTACACCGGATGATACAGATACGGGCTTCTGAGAGAATCACAGACGGGACGGCCATCTTGGATCTGTGTTGATGCCGCCTGCTGAACACTGTGAGTGTGAAGTGCGCTGGTGCAAATGTTGCGCCCCAAGCCGGCCTTTGACACGTGTGGGCTGTGTTGGCCGCCGGGTGCGCAGAGCTGGTGCCAACCGGTGCCGCCAGTCAGTGGGAGCGGCTGCACGAGCGGGAGTTGCGGCTGGCCGTCACCCACCCGCCGGCCAACGCCTGGCAGGAGATGATCCTGTGGACCGAGCAGGGCAAACTGTGGCACCTGCCCGTCGACAACGAACAGGGTGGGTGTGTGCTGTTGCCGGCTGCACCGGCCGATGGTCACGCTGTTTGAATGCCCATCCCGGGCTTATGGTCGGCCGGGAACCTATCGATGAGGGAAGCGTTCAGGAACCGGGCTCATTGCCAGGGCGCGCTTACCAGGCAAACGCCGGGGCATTTCAGCCACGACGGGCGTCTCCCCTCCGTAAGCGGCGTGAGCATTGTTTGTGAAGCCTGCGAACCTTTGTATGGCCGCTTTAGCTGCTGCATCGCACCGATCGCTTGAGATTGACGCGGTGCCGCCACGACCACAGGCGTCCTGTCGTCGCCGCAGCCAGGCTCTTAGGACGCCCTCGCCCGGCAGCCTCCACGGAGCTGACTCAGCCCGCTGACGGCCCCCTCGTCCCCCAGGACTGGAGGCGGAGGCGGCCGTCGGCTTCCACGAGCACGTGTTCCTGGAGCGCCACCTGGAGCCGTGGTGTCCCCAGCGCGGCCCCCTCCGCCACTTCATGGAACTCGTGTGCGTGGCGCTCGGCAAGAACCCGTGGCTCTCGGTTGAGGAGAAGCGCGAGCACATCGTCTGGTTCAGGGACTACTTCGCTGAGAAGCAGCAGCTGCTGGCGGAGCTGAAGGCCATGTAAGTGGGCGGAGCGAGTCTATTTGGTGCAGCGAGTAGTGGGAGTGGCAGTGAGCGACTGGCTCTGAGTGGCGTCCCGACCGGGCGCACAATACAGGCGACACACGTGTGCAATCACTCCATGCATTTATGTCTCAGAACAGAACAATCGAACCAGAGAAACGGAACATGCAGCGTCGCGCACCGTAAGACGCAGCCGTAACACGCGCAGAGAAGCTGAACAGACTAGAATTCATGACCCTGCGTGACCCTGACTAGCATGCGTGCGCTGCGGTATGCAACAAAAACAGTCATCTGAACATAGCACAGGGTTTTGGGTGTTTGCGCCTTTTCGCCTATCGTGCCCGCTTATCCGTATAAAAGTTATCGTATCAACTGTAGGATACAAGTTTGTGACATCGCCTCCGAGCGGGCTCACAGCAAACGTGAATTTTGTGACGTCAAGGCCATCCATTTCCACCGCGTACCCACAGACAAGTTTGTAACAGCCACCATCAGAAGTCACAGAAAACGTAGATTTTACGACACGGAAGCCACTCGTGAGATTCGCTGTGTGCGGACGAGACAAACCGCTAAAACTGCGTTAAACTTTCCTTACACCTTACCAGCGTTCACGCCAGCGACGGGAAAGGCGAGCCCGGCGCTCCTACGCTACCCACTGGCAACCCACCCGACCGCGGGTCTCACCAGCGCCCGGGTCAGCGCCCGACAGCCTGGCTGACCAACTTTTGAACACGCGTTATCACCGGGCGGCCAGCGCGCCGCGCAGTCCACACTCGGCCGAGCAGGCTCCGGCCGTCTCACTCGGCCGGCGCGCTGCACAGGGCGTCCAGCTCCTTGCAGACGTCCTCGAAGATTTCGTCCACGGCCCGCTCGCCGTTTATCTGCGGTCATCACCGGCCGACGGGCGGCCAGTCGTTACACGGTGCGGTGTTGGTTATGTGGTTACGTGATCGTAAGTGTAGTTGTTGGTTTTCGGACGTTTCGGCTTCAAATGCCATCTCACCGTTACGCGTTGGTGTGGGCAGAATCAGAATGGTCCCTGTGTCTAACATGGCTGACCGCAAGATAACTTCTCTTGTCGGGTTAAGATAACCACTCAAAATGAAAGCGGTCATAACATACCAATCATAATGTCGTTTGTCAAAAGTGCGACCTAACAAAAGTTACTGAACGAGCCGCTACACAAATGGCCGGTTTATAAGTAGACGGATGGCACAGCCCACTTCTACACCGCCAGTACACACGATTCATCACGCGGTACCGTAAAAGCTTAATGTACGAGCGGACGTAAAATCATCGTTACATACCGCGCCGTTGAGAGGAAAGTAACTTGTTTAGTGCGAACAAAATCACACTGTCCCACGCAGCACTTTGCCGCCAGCTGCCTTTTTCGCCAAGCGAGCTGCTCAAATGCAAATACAAAATCTGCCACGCGTGGAAACTGGACTCTGTCATGTGATACGTCTTAAATGTCACACAGGAAGTAATAAGTTACAATTGCGCCACTTATTGCGGCAGATTTATGACTACCTGGCATACAAATGAATGTGCTATCTGCTACACTTGAAGTGCATTTGTACTTAAAGTTACACATATATGAATTTGTAATTTTTAAACATTGCATTGAAAACAAAGCGTCGCAAAACGAAATCGCTACCGTTCTCGCTACACATAAATGGCTCACCTCGTTCTCGGCTCCGTACAAACTACCATTTATACACCAACTTGCACTGTGAGACATCGAAAGGCATCTAGAACGATGCTGTTCACAAGCTTGTGCCACTCAAAGTGCGTGTGCGCCTTACATGTGGGAAGGGTGTCATAACCTCATTTGTGTACCATGCAGCTTACATATGGGAAGGATGCCACACATTAATTTATCTACCATGTGACATATAACCGACTTTCAGCCAGCGATAAAGTGACTGGACTCCTCATCGTGCAGTGCCCGTGTACATGTTGATAGGTGGCTAGGGGCAACAGTGAAATCGAGCGAACCAGTATGGGGTATGGCGTATCATTCAGGCAAGGAAGCTGCCAGCCAACACGTGCGATCGCTACAACACACAACCACGACAACCTCCGCCTGGATAGCCCCGACTGCCGGCCACGCCCCGTCCGGGTGGGCGCAGCACCATGCCGCCGACCGCCCCTGCCCGGCGCTGGTCTCTCACCCGCTTGCAGCGCTGGTCAAAATGTGTCACCAACGGCTCGGTGACGCTATGGAACGTCTCGAGCCGCTTCTTGATGGTCTCGGCGTTGTCATCGGAGCGGCCGGACGTCTCGCCCCGCTTCAGCAGGCGCTCTGTCATCAAGGCGTCTGACACCTCGAAGTAGAGCACCAGCGAGCAGGGGCACACCTGCGGCCAGCCAGAGGTCAGGCATGCTGGCACCGCGCGCGGCGCGACGCAGAGCCGGCGTCCTAGGAGTCACAGCCGACACAGAGCCGGGCATCGTAGAGGTCACAGCCGACACATAACCGGAGGTCACAGCAGTCACAGCCGGTACAGAGCCGGGATCACAGTCGATACAGAGCCGGGATCACAGGGGCGACAGCCGACAGAGAGCCGGGATCACAGGGGCGAAAGCCAATACAGAGCCGAGGGTCATCTGTCACCACAGCTCACCTGCTCCTCAAACTTGACTGCTTGGTCCACCTCCCGCGGGTAGCCGTCGATGAGGAAGCCCTTGCTGTTCTCCAGCTTCAGCACCATCCCCTCTCGGATCAGGCGTAGCACAGTTTCCTGCCAACACGGAGGACAGTGACTAGACGGGCTTAAGAGGTGGGCTTGATGGAGTGCCTAATGTCAACGACCATGCACTCGTTCCATTGGTCACTGGACGGCTGCCGCGGAGGCTCCCCGCCACTGACCATGGGCACTAGGTCGCCGGCGTCCATGGTCTCCTTCATCTGCTTGCCGAGGTCGGAGCCGGAGTCGACCTCGGCGCGCAGCAGGTCGCCCGAAGACAGGTGCGTGAAGCCGTACTTTTCCGCGATCTTCTCGCACTGGGTGCCCTTGCCGCTGCCGGGGCCGCCTGCCGGCGTGGCCACACACCGCTGCCATGATCCCAGCACAGCGCCGCCCTCACTACCCATACCAATGACGTCACAATGCTCGGGGCGACAGCGCGTCTGCCAGGTCACTTCTTGCAGTCCGGTTTTTTAAGCCAGGGCGAAAGACTTGCAATCGTCTGTGTACGTTTTGCCTCTATGCAGTAGGAACAATTCGGATAAGGAGTCCAACTTACCTGTGTGGCACAGACACTGTCGGGCCTTTAGATATTTTTGCTAACCCAACTTTGAACTGATAGGTGAACATCGTTTCAAGGCCCACAGCTGAATGCTTTGATGATGTGCTGTGCGCCCACAGGGAGAGGTGCGGGTATCTCATGAAGTTGTCTACGTTCAGACGTGGTCCACCCGTTGAAAGTACCAATTTGTTTAGCTTTACTCGCTTGCCCCGAATTGTACTGCCACCCTGCATTCACAAGCAAATTACATACAGTACATTTAAGCATGTGTGTGTGAAGGGGGATGGGCACCTGACCTGCCCACTCAGGTACCACCCACTCGCACACTCAAAACGCGGACGCTGATTCAGTCGAGGCGAGCTAACAGGTAGCAAGCAACATACACGAGGATTATAGCAGGCAAGACAATGACGTACGCCTTTCTACATTTGTTTATAAATCACGTGCTCAATAATGGGCTCTTCAAAGTAACCTGGTATTTTGCTACGATGTGTATGCATAATACACACAATATATAAATATATATATATATATATATATATATATATATATATACAATAGCACGTCCTTATGGATTAGTAATTTTGCGGGTTCGATAACACAATTACTCCCCAAAAGACGGCACAACAACTAAGGCGGGGTCAGAGTAATGAATTGGAACGAAAGTAGTTCTTTGGAAAAAAAATTGGCTACCTTTTCCATTGTTCGGTGATCCTCGCGAATTCACGAAGCCATATTATGATGTGGGTGTCCCCTTTTCAGACTCCCTATCAACCAACCTTCCTATGCGCATAACACATTTTGACGCATGTTTTCGGATGATTTAGCTGGATACTGAGACCATTTGAAGACATTTCTGAATGCTGCTTGCCAGCTTGTGGTTCCACATAGTAAGTTTGTTTGTAAGCAAGTGAGTTTGTTGAGCAACGTAATAATGATTCTCAGGAGAAGATGCGCCATCCTATCGAGGTCCAACTCGACCAAAAAAGGCAGGCGAGACGCTCGTGTTGTGGCCGACTTTCCAGAGCGTCAAAGGACAAAACAAATTATGAACCGGATTATCCAGAAACTTGAGGGTAACGAGGAGAACTCCTGCGCCAGAAGGTCAGGCAGCAGAAGCCCCGGAACACCCAGATCCGACGACCACATGGCGAAGTGAAGGGTCTGGCCAGCTTGAAATATATGAAGATGAACGTCAACGATGGCAGGCGCCGTGTGTCATAAACGGAAGCCCCGGATCAGGGATTTATGCCAGAAGATTGGCGGCGAGAAGTCACGGGCGTGTTTTTCACCGATGAGGCATCTCACGATTCACATGCCGTTGAACGTCCAGAACAACCGCGTCTATGGAAGCGGCAAGAAGGGCGAGGTCCCAGGAAATCGACTGTGCCACGAGAAACCGAGACCTTTGTAGAAAGCCATGTATGGTTAGCGTCGACGTCACCTGGAACGGAACAACTAGTTTTTTTTCGTTTCGAACATCGAAAGCGAGAAAGACCGCTGGGTTTCGTACATTCGGCTGCTGGACGAGAAGCTGCTACCGACCTGGGAAGGGCTCCACCCAGCCGGCTCCACTGCCCAGCAAGACGGCTCCCCTCCCACACAACTGGACCACTCAGGAGTTCCCCGCCGAACTCTGCCAACTCGTCAGACAGCACGAGTGTCCACCAAACTCCGCTGTTCTCAATCCTCGAGACTGCCGCGTCTGGAATGCGCTGTTGGAGGCAGTGTACTGATCTCACCACCAGAAGTTCCCCGGTCTAGACGAGCCGAAGTAGGCCATCACGGCCACGCGGGAGGAGGTGTCATTTGACACCATAAGGAGCACCAGCCACCACTGGACCTACGGGCTGAATACTGTGATTCCGGCTAGCGTTGGCCCCATCGCTCACGCGCTCCAAAACCGGCAAAACTGCTTAATTCTGTACTATTGCACGCCTTTGTGTCCGAGCCCGTCACGCAAAGAAAAGGGGGACTGATTATGCTGAACCTTAGCACGCACGCTCCCTTCTATACCTTCTTTCAACGTCTAAAATATCACGTCTATGCCCTAAACTATACTGCAAGATATGTTAACAAATTTGTGAACAGTTTTTGCCCTCCAAGTGTATAAAGAAAAGGGCATGCCGGAAAGGTGCTGAGGTTATAAATTTTGCCTCACAAAGGGTTTGAAGATGTGATTACAGACTGTGCATCAAGGAAATCAGCCAAAAGAAATCATTCAACTTTCTATCAACAAAGCGCAACAAACCAGGTGCTGACTACTGTTCCACGGCTTATTTTTACGGCTTATTCCGTGCCTCTTGGAATATCTGTGCATGTCCTTCTAGAGACACAAAAACCCAGGCTTGCGATGGTATCACATTTATGACGTTTAACTCGACACGAAACACTCTATTTCAGAATGTACTCTAAGGAACGAACCGAATGCATTACGAAACCTCATGACCCGTTGCGCAATAATATACGCCTACAAAAGGCGTCACGGGAGGGAGCTTTAACATTCAGCCATTAGAGAAACGACGACATTATATGGCTCCTTCACTTGCAGCGTAGCAGCACGATATTCTGGATCATTCCCCGTCCAGCCTCCATCGCGTCTTAGTCAATCATAACCATGCTCGCTCTAACCAACAATCATGACCGTCCTGTTGATAGTTGCTGTAACACACAGGATGCTTGTACTCACCCAACATGAAGATCACGGGCACGTTGGACTTTTTCAAAAGTTCAGACATCTCTGCCGCTGCGGAAAAATTTGGAACAGTGTCAACACCATCAAAACTCATTACTGGGAACATATCCACTCATTTATCTGTGATAACCATGCTATCCCTTATGAACGTGGAAATGCATTGTACCCTGAGACAATGTCTTGAACACATTTATTTAAGGCCTCTAATTTGTTTTGACCTGATGTCAAATTGTCATCACCAATGGGCAGAAACGCCTAGAGACCACAACGAATAGCCCTTGCGGCGCTAACGATGCTGCTCATATATGGGCCAGAATCAGCCAGAGAACATCTGATGGGTGTCGCGCACACTCAACTGAATGAGGGCGATGAAACACTGATATGCACAGCCGGTACAAATGGACACTTACGGGTTAAATTTAGCACCTCTGTCGCGTCCTTCGCCAAGCGTTGCTGAAACATAAATCAAAGTAAACAAAAGTTCACACATTTGCCTGCCCATTTTAGGAACCAACGACGCATGTGATGTAACCGTGCGAAAGCGGTGCCGTGCGACAATGCCAACAACAGTGGTATACCATATCTGTGGTGGCCCATGGTGAAATCCATTGGTTGCGCAAAACACAACTAACAATTTAACTTTCCTAGAATGGGCAAACCATTCTGAAAAGGGCTTTTCAACCCCACCATGGTTGTAAATACTAATTCCAGAAACAACATCACTCTTGCACTTTTGACATTGACTTTAATGCCTTGTACACCATATCATACCATATGAAAGGATCCCTATACAAATTCCCCTATCACATATTCAACCTCCCCCCCCCCCCTGGTAACATGGCAACCCTCATGGCTAGTTTGTATGCTGTATCTGTATGCCAGAGAAAATTGTTGGCATACACTTAGTGGATATGGGCAGTATGCAGCAACCTCAAACATACTTGCTGCAAATTTCCACATATTTAATGAAGATTTCATACATATTTAATGAAATTTATGAAAGGAAATGAAATTTGGTCATATTTAATGAAATAATTTCATACATATTTAATGAAAATTTCCACATATTTTCCTCAGGATGTCTGATCCTTTAACAACCTTTCGCACCACATCTGTAAAAATCTCTCAATCACTCAACAAGCTCTTATAATGTCACAGGCTAGTAACCATCAGCATATGCATGAAAGCATATGTATCACAATGCAATGTCAAAGCCTGTATGGATCAAAAAGGTACACTATCATAAAACAATTATATCACAAGCATTAGATGCACAAAATTAGAAGTGCATGTTTGAGTTACAGAATAAAAACTATTCACTGAACAAAAACAACACAGGCTTTAGCTCACTGATTTGTACAGCTTAAATTTACAACTTATTGGCAGGCTAAGCATTTACAATATAATCATGAAAATGACAAAAACCACACAATCAGGTTGATGCCCTGATAAACCAGTTGCAGCACTAATTGTACAGCATGATGTGCTCTGCCCCACTATGTGTGACAATGTGCATGTGTGAACAAGGTACATAATTATGGGGTATTCTGCAATCAGCACTTGTATTATTAATACCACATACCTTTCCACAACATCCACCCATTGCCTTAAGTGGGTTTGGTGAGTCTAGTGTGGGTTGAAAGGAATACACTCCTCCAGGAAGACAGGATGAGCTGCTACACAGATCACTGTCACAAACATGATGCACGCAGGTTAGAAACGCCTAATACTAATTTGCATGCTCGTTAAAAGCGGTTGTGTGCGTCAAGAAATCACTACACTACAAAAATTATTTCCAGCAGAGCACTTTCAAAAAATCGCTTTACAAGGGTGACGGTCTAGTGATTTCAGCATAAAACCCTAATAACAGCCAGAAAAGCCCAACTACCGAAATTAAAACTCTAACACCTCGTCGCTTATAAACAACAAAAACTATTCTATTCTAGACGACCTCAACCTTACCGCGCCCGCCACCCAACATTAAGCAAAGCTACGCGTTGTATCGCCGTCACATGCGCCTGTACTGTATCAAGCAGAAAGCTTGTTTGGTAGCTTTGATAAAAAGCTACCATATTTAGGGAGGTTTTACTTTATATGGAAACGATCCGCCGAAGTCCAAGATGGGTCCAGTATTATTTGATTTTAGGCAAAATTAAATGACGGATTGCCTTGAAATTTGATTAGCATGCAGATTGCAGGTTTATACAACTCTTTAACGTATCGAATGCACCATTATTTGTATCGTAAGAAAGAAACTATCCGATAGCAATGAGCGGGGTCCCAAGCACGAGTAAAAAATTGTGATCGGAACAGGCAAAAAGTTTTGGTTGTCGAAGACGGGATTCCTTTCCAAGCATCTTTCATGCGTGTTTCTATGTTTCGTTACCTCGCGATCCTCGAATATCAGATCGGCATTCAGCATAGACTATATCTTGTGAGTCTGGATAAGCGAGGCGAACTGACAAGCTCTAGCCAAAGTCGCTAACCTCTTTCAATCGAATGTGCCTGTGGCGCTCGGCGTATCAATCCGCCGCGGGTCACATTGTTTTTTTTCAATGTGCGAGTACGGTTTTTGTTTGTTTCGTTTGGCCCGAGTGCTCGTTCCGGACATGCGCGCCAGGAAGCTCAGTAGTGGACGGCTCTTTGAAACATCAACCTCGTCGGATTAAGACACTCAGCCAGTAGAGAGAGGGAGGTTCAGACAGTACGAGGGGTTTGAGACAGTGAGACAGGCACGGTGTTCGGAATCCTATCGGCCTGGGGTGTCGACGGCCGGGCGCTCGGTGCCTACACCTCACCAAAATGCAAACCCGGCGGAGGAGCCGCCGACCCTTGGGTGATTCTTAGATCTCCGGCCCCTTTTTCTTCTTGTTTGGCAATTGACAATTGGAAAGATGCATTTTGTAAGAACGTTGAGCTTACGTACTTGTACTTTGTTCTGATCAGCTGTATGCCGTGCATTCCTTTCACGCTTGCATGACATCATGGTAATCAGCATTTCTAATACACAGTTATGCCGTTACTTTGTGTTCCAAATGACGTGCTGACCCCGACCTGGTATTGTTTGTGCGTTTCAATGAACAGTCTAGACAAAATGGCAGATCAATAAGTAATCTGCTCCCTGAATTTTGTGCCGGAAGATATGACGCGTCGCAGTCAGGTCCACATTATACGTCAAATCAATTATATTGCACAGCTCATATACTGCCTACAGCTTAGGGCGACTGTGATTTTTCCACGAGTGTAATGAAAGGATTTTTATCACCAAAGGCTATATGCGCCCTAGAGGCTTCGCATTATGACTCCTCAGAGCCGATGAGGGATTCCGGCGTACCGATGAGGGACTCCGGCATTATTCTGTGACGAGAGAAGGTGGGAGCTACGTGCTGATGCCACGATGAGCCTTGCACCAGGTGGCTGCAAAGTGTGATGGATAAATTCCTGTGTGGGCCGGATAAATTCCGAGATATGAGTGGTGTGGGGCTCTAAGGTTCCGCTCACAAATGAGGAGTCTGATCGTTGCGCATAACCTACGCAGACTGTGCATAGCGATCACACCATAGGGCTCCCTTTTTATGGCCGGTGACGAGCATGCATGAGATGGCGTGAATTTATGAATGCTAGTTGCGGAATCTCAGTAAAGTGACGTTTGCTGCCCATGTTAGGACGGAAAAAATTTGTTGCGTAAAAGCCCATGTAATGCCGGTGCACCAATGGTTTCGCACCATTTGCGGTCCCCCCAGTTAGTTGGTTTATTACAGAGAATTACCTCAGTAGTAATGACCTGTAGATGAGTACAGAAGATCATCTAGCCAACAATATATATATATATATATATATATATATATATATATATAACAATTACAGTTACATGTATATTAAATCTAAGCAAATATGATTATTGCCTGTAGACTCCTACTCCTAAGCAGATTTTCTTTCGTAAGACTGATTATTGGTGAGTATAGCCACTATGTCTAGAAAGGTATGCATAACATTATGCATTTCACAACATCATGTGCGAGTACGTAACTTCAAAACCCATACAGGAGCTTCATTCAAATTATTGAGTCAGTCACAGCGTTTGTTGCTTTTATGCAAGCTGGGACTTGAGAATAGAGTGATTGCAGTATGGTGTTGGTGAAAAATCCGTCGGGTAAGCATGATAATATTGCGTAAAAAAAATGGCAAGCCAGTGCTACAAGTTACGCAGACGCAAAAAAATCAAGAGTCTTAACTAACTTAGCTGAAAATACTGCGCTTAACATAGATGGTGGCCAGCATGGCAGATGCTACCTAAGAGCGGGAACAGCCCCCCCCCCCCACAAAAAAAATCAGTAACCTAAACGGCGATATAATTGGGAAAAGCTCCACGTACCATAAATAGTGGCCGGCATGGAGGGGAGGGGGAGGGCGCCTAAACAGTAAAACGGCAAAAATCAAGAAACAACCAACGATCTATTATGGAAAACTGCGCGCAACGTGCCGCCAACTGGATGCAAGTTTTCATGTACAACAAGCAGATGGCCGAACCAGGTTTGAGGTCAGGTCAGACCACATGATCAGATTGCGGAATTTTTAACATCAGGTATAAACGATAACTTTACAGACAGTGCATATATTGCCGAGTCGGATGGTGTCAAGAGCATCATTAAATGACTCCTAGTTCTTAAAAAACTTATAAATGTCTGGTAATGATGGATTTCTGCCCGACACATGATTTCTCACTGACTTAAGCGCCGTGACGGGCTCCTACAATCTGGCAAATCCTGACCCCTTTGATTTTGGTTAAAATCGCTGCAAGCATGGAACATCCATTATAGCAAAAACATCCCTCGGCATTTCTCGGGGCATCGAAGGCTTTGGCCTCTAGAGGTCATCGAATACCAGAGCGATGTTCGGCAAGGACGATTTTAGTACACCTTGCTGGATAGACAGGGTGAGCTGACAAGCTGAAACCAGACTAAACCTCTTTTAATCGAATGTCTGTACCATGCCTCGCTTCGCCTAGCTGTGCCTTTCTGATATCGTGTGCTGCATTCGACAGACGAATATCGGTCTGGTACTCGGTAACTTCCAGGGGTCACAGCTTTTTACGCCTGTGAAGATTCGACAAATATCTTCGTTATTGCAGATGTTCCGCACATGACCCCGTTCTGCTTGGCATTGCAATCACTACTTAAAAGTTGTAATTTATACTTGATTTCGTAAGATCATCACGGATCTGACGTGGCCCATAAACGTGATGTGTAAGGTTCAGTCGCCTTACTTCTTTCACTTCAGCACTCCCAGGGTGGCCAGTTGAATATAACGCCGCTCGGGTGGGGGTGGGAGCACTTTGAGCCCTAAGATCTCAAGAACTCAGATACCTGAATGCGCCAAATTCATGGGATGGATATACCTGAGTGTGAAACTATTGTGTCAAATTTTAAGACACCTAGATTACAACCTTCCGGACAATTATGGTCAGAGAAGGTCAAACTCCAGATCGGTGTCCGAAGCTCCCTCAGACTTTATTGTGCAACCAGCTTCAACCTGGATACCTCTACTATGCAAAAGATGATCCTGTCGGGTAAGTGACCTCATTTCACCTTGGGAAGGTTGCGGCGACCAAAAACCTGCGAGATTGTTTGGATTTTTCCATTTTAATAAGCGTCGAGAATTGCTCTAGGCGAAATACTTTTAAAAACAAAAGACTGGTCATGGTCATCCTACAGCAGTGACCTCTTTTGACCTATGAGAACTTTAAATAACACACTTGTTTACCTCCTTGTGATCAGAAATCGAAATGGTTGTTAAAAACTACCTACTGTTACTAAACTTGAACTTCGATCCGATACTAATACCTGACCCCTGGTATCAGACCGCCATGCCAGACACCCAGTTGTTGGACCGAGTGAAGGCAGATGACTGAAATCTCACTGCTCTCCAGGCTCGAATTGGACATACTTCAGTGACCACGGAGAGCTGGTTCCGCCCTAACTCTCTCAAAATGGCCCCCCAAAAAGCTGATCTCATTCTTATTGGAAATAGCCAAATAAAAAAGGGCGAAAAATCTTCAGTTGGCTATCGCCAATGCCCGCATGTCACCCTTTCACTCTTCCGGGTGCTCAGTGTCGTCACCGATCCCGTTCTGTCCTGGGATTTGCACATCAGTCATGTGGTCAAGAAGTGCAATGCACTTTTGGTGTCTCTCTTTCGCCTGCGGCATTACTTCACCCAGGACATGTTAAAGTTTTTGGTTGAAACCCACGCACTTCCTTGTATTCTGTATGGTCTTTCGATATGGAGGAGACACCGCCAACAATCAACTACACAGGTTCCAGAAAGTTATCAGTTTTGCCGCCGGGGTTGTGCCAGTGACGTGACGCCAGGACATCATTGGTCCGGCACTCCAGGCTCTCAGATGGGATCGAATGGAGCGGCTAGTCGAGTTGCGACGACGTCGCCGAAGTCCATAAGACTTTCAACTACCAGAGCGGGCCCCCGCATTGCGCAGCATGTTCACCGCCAAGCCCTCGGTATCCCACCGTCTCCCTGACTCCACGGAAGAAGGCCGGCTGGAGCTGCCAAAACGCCGGCTGGCGTGCCCACAGAGGGGCTTTTGATACCGGGCATCATTACCATGGAATAAGCTGCCGGTCAATGTAAATGAGTGTTGCTTACTGTTCGCCTTCAAGCGTGCTATGAGGGATGTGAACAGCTGGGCGGAGATTCGAGATGCGGCGGTCTTGTGGCTGATGCGCACTCATGCTCGCATGCCATTCTTATCTTTACATATTCGTGTTTTTTATCGCGCACATTATGTTTTTTCTTCTGACAGAAATCGTGTACTTCTTTTTTGATTTAACTGGTTAGGCATCAGGCGATGAGCTTACTTTATGTTGTGTTGGCATTAATGGACTAGACGCAAATTCGGAAGAGCCATTGATGGAGGAATTTAAATCAAGCGCATGCCTACATACACCTTAAGCTAATGGACTTATTCCTAATACTAAATTCAGTGGTACAATTGTTCAAAGAAACGTTCACAAAGATGTCCGGCTTCGTCTAACACTACGTTATCACATCGCATTGAACGATTCCCCAGACTAACCGATTCCTAGCCTTCGCTGACAGCCATGACCTGAATTTGACCTGCTATAGGTAAGCGACCTTGCAACATAAATATAATTTGCATATGAAAAGATCGGCTGTTTAATTGGTTACAGTCAGGCAGAGTTTGGCGCGGCCGCGCGGCGCGCTACACCGCGCCATCCGAGCGCTCGAGCGCATGTCAAAATTTTGAATTGGCTTGGGCACATATTTATTTAAAATGAGTTTGGGTCAGGTTTAATCTGCCAGTTGACTTTGCGTGTGCGGTTTGATATCTTGAAGTTGACAGTGGCGAACATCGCTGTTGTCGATGAAATCCAGAGTCGCAGCTTCTGATGCCCCGCGAAAAGGCCAGAGACGTCACTCTGATCCCAGACCTGCTGCTCCTGTAGCGGTTTGAAAGGGAATCGACAGGGTCGCAATGCGTAGTTCGTTCGTTCCCGTGCTGAACGCGAAGAGAAATAATGTATTAGGTGAAAAACTAGATACTTAATGGTTTGTCGATATTAAATGGTTGACGTTTTCTGATCCCTGGAGGTCAAACCTCTGGGTGCCCTACCTAAAATCTTCACGTAACTTGTCAGCTTTACGGAAGCTGTTGTTGGCAAAAGCAAGTTGGCTTTTATCCAAAGTGGTTGTCGATTTCTGCTGAATGCGTATATCGAAATGCTGTTAAATTTACACATACATCACATGGAGAAGTTGAAAAATAACAAAGGCGAAGGATTGGATAGCAGAACATAAAAGTGCCAAAGCCAGGGTAAAAGGTAATGCCCGAAAGGGTTGAGCTTGTAAGGACCGAGCGCTTTGGTACATAACCACACTAAAGCCACCATGTACCGGCTGATTGGAAAATTTTGACATTGGCGGGCAAAAACACGTGCGATCCGTCAAAACCCAATGACCCATTCCCATTCGTCTGGATTAAGGAGGAATCCCGGATTTAACGGGTTTAGTTAAGCACGGGCAAATGTTTCCACTGCGCCTCCGCGGCGACGCTTATGACTGAGCACCACCACGATGAGTGCTGGGCCAACACGCTGAGTCACGATCAACGGCCTTCTCGTAAAACGGCTGATGAATGAACTGAGCAACGCAGCTCAAACGTTCTAAGAATTCTCAATGGGTATTGGTCATGCTCGTAGCGTGCACCAGTCCCTGCTGTTACTTTGGAGATAGTGAGTCGGCAATTATTTTTCGCATGATCGGAGGCCTGGCTCATATAATGGGTAGTGCTGACACCTAGCAAAATCACACCGGCTATGGTCCATTTTTCAGCAAATGTTTCACATGTTGGCCTGCGCTGTGTCACTGTAAAGCCTTTTTCGTGCACTTGGCTATCTGGCGGAACAGTTTGTCACATTCAACCCATGACGTAATTACGCATGCACCACTAACCCCCAGCCACCTACCATGTTATCCACGAACTGGTACATGAGGTGGAACATGGCTGCAGCACTTCACGAGTCACCGCCGCCGCAGCCGAGCCGCTCGTCACCGGCGCCCTCTGGCGGCACCGGCAGCCGGCAGCGTCCAGCGTTGCCGGCGGCGCTCTTGGCAACGGGGGACGGCTGCGCGTTGCCGGCGCGCCTGACTCACGTCCCCGCTGCCTAGCTGCGGACGCCGTCGGCCCGGGCACCGTCTGACAGCGCGCCGACGACGGTCCCGCCGCTCGCGCCGCGCCGAGCACGCTCGCCGGCGGGCTCTGAAACGCCCCGCTGACCCGGCGGGGCCCGCTTACCGGGCCGCGCTGGGCAGCGAACGTCGGGGCGCGAGTGTCGGTCCCGAGGCTGCCCTGGCGGCCACCGCAGCTCCGTGCCGCCTATAAATAGGGAGCGACCGAAGTGCGGCTTGGACGGCGCTCGACGGCCTGGGAGCTGACGCCAGCCAGACAGCCCGCTTGGCCACGCGCCAGCGGGCTGCGGCGAACGCCGATGCGTCGGTCGGCGGATCGTGACAATCACCGTGGCTTGTTGCGCCGCAGAGCGATCTGTGGCAGGGCTCTGGCGCCGGCGAGCCGGTGCTTAACGACACCGACCGTGGCCGGGCTGCGCCACCGACCAGGCCCCGGGCATTCAGGCGCGGCGTGCGCGGCTTGCTTGTGGCGGCAGGGGCAGTGATGCGTCGCATGTGTCACACGTTAAATCTTTTGTTTTGGGGATGGATGTGTTTAAGCCTTCGGTGCCCAAAAGCCAGGTGACGTCAGAGAGCAGGGCCAACTATGGCTAGCACTGGTGTATGTTAAACTCTCGTCACCAAAATCGGCCGTCTACCTGGAATTTCACGATCAAATGGTGGGGGTCAGGGCTGATACAACAAGCCCTGCGCAGCATGGGCGTCGACCCCAGAAATCCATCCATTCAAAAGGTTCGGACTTCATTTTAAAAGGCTCCCTTTGGTCTCTAAGGAGCCGAAACGGTCTCTTACAGCCCTATGTGTGCCCAGGAACCCTGCGGATGCTAATGAACTGTTTTAGCTGTTGAAAGTCCTGCCAACCATTGAGGGTCTCTCTGGCTACTGAGGAGCTTCCGGGGCGATGGCGTTTTCTTCTGAATGCTCAGGGACTTAACTGGCCAATGGGACTGCTGAGGGCCAGTTACTGTCGATCTACTATTAGATCGATTGCTACTTGTGGCCAGTTATTATCGATCGTTTTATTCCCCATCGTTTTCCGTTTTAATCATTTTCACGCGCGTTATAGTCCACCAGAGATAATCCGTCAATGCATTCTCTAAAAAGTGCCCAGCACCGTAACGCGGCCAAAGTCACTGATCGATTTAAAAGCTTCACGGCTGAAATCAGAGCACTGGACAGCCATGCGGCCTGTATGATGACCGGTCGGTCTATAGCGCAATGCCCCCCGCCCCTTGGTGAAGGTTCGCTGACCCGTCTATTCGAGAGGCTACGAGGCTTGGTATTTGAGCGTCAGAATCAATATTGGATTAACCATCACGATGACCTCGCCCATCCGCCCTTCCCTTCTCATTCACGCCACATCCTGCATCCCCGCAAAGCCCCGCTCATCTCAGGCAAACTGCATGTGCCAGCCATGAGTGGCCTCGTCCTGCATCTTTGTAACGCTCGTTTATCCGATGCGGACTGCATGTGCCAGTCATGATTGGGCTTAAGTGCCCCTTGATTGGGATCCTGTCAATGTGCCGACCACATACCCCGTATAGGGCCTCTGTGCGGACAATCTGAATAGCCTTGCCGGAAAACCACGAGTCCTGCTCCTCCTGCTCCTGCACTTCTTTCCTGCATTTGACATGTGAGACCAATCAAGTCCTTGCCTAATAGAGGCCGTATAGGGCCTCTGTGCGGACTAAATCTCGGCGGAGGATCCCAGATGCATGTAGTTTTGCCTACCACTTTTCATTCTTATTGTCAGCAGAGTGTGAGAGCGTTCTCCTTCTATTTGCCATTTTTAATTGTTTAATCCCCATTGCCATTGCAACTATCACTACTGGGCGAAAGGGCTCTAATTCAAATCAAACCAATCTAACTTCCGCTCAATGGTCGACTAACTACCAACAATGGAGCCGCCCTCAGCAAACGTGACAGATTGCTATCAATCCGGGCCTTCTAACCAGTAACGTAGTCAGAAGTCACTCTTTACGATAGCGTTAACAGACATGGACTTGATTGGCCCCACGTGTCAGATGCCGGAAGGAAATGCGTGAGCAGGAGCAGGACTCATAGTTTGCCGGCAAGGCTATTAAAATTGTCAATATCTAACCAGGAAGCATTTTTAATTTCATCACCTTGTGCCTCTTCGTGATCTCACATTTGCTGTGCTTAAATGTTTAAGCCTACTTGACCAAATCCGCGGGCGTGGAATGATGAATTGGTGCATGATGATGAATTAAAAAAGTACCGTTTCAGACTTGGTACAAAATTTGGCCCCATGGAATAGTCTGTCGTTTGTATCGCACAGTTCCACCGCACGGCATTGTAAGGGTTTGCATGCTATTTTTCCAATGGTATTCACATGATATGAATAACTCCACCGATGAAGACATTTTCTTTAATTAAGATAGCTGCATAATAATCCCACAAGGTCAAAAAAGCTAACGGGTGTGAAGGGTCACGTGATGCGATCTCTTAAATCATAAAGTAAATACCCAAAAGCAAGCGTGTATTTAAGCGTACCTTCGCAGAAGCCGAATGATGCACTTTGTTGTTATGTCACTTCGTCTAAAAATGAAAACTTCAATATGGTGGACGTAGCACGACAGTTGGAACCTGGCCGCTCCAGCAGTTCTTACCAAGACACCGCGCTGAGCCGGACGGTGCCGACCTAGCGCTGGCACGCGCCAAAACAGGGCATACCTTACCGACGGCCGATCCTGTGTGGGCCTCCGGGCTGGTCAGCGCGCTGTCTCGTCCTGTAGCAAGTGCGGAACGACACCGGTCCTCGCCGCCAGTCAGGTGAGCGTGCGACCGCCACTCAACAACAGACAGCTTCGCCCTTCACTGACCGGGCGGCCAACACGGCGGCAGGGGCGAGCCCAGGAGCTAGCCATACGGGGCAGTCAGTGATCTCACAGCAACAACAATCGTAACTATAGAAATAGAAGCGGGAATACAGCTGAAGGTATAACGCTTCGCCAAACACATTGCGTGCAGCAGCGGACGCTGGGAGACGCGTCTGAGCATGCCTCTGTGCGGCACCGGATCGAGCAGCGCACGCTTGGTCGCCAAGCTGCGACGGACAGCGGGCGGGGCGACACTCGTTTGGCACGCTCCGCTGCGACTGGGTCATGAACCCCTGCGGTCAATTGCGACTGGGTCGTGAATCCCTGCGGTCAACTGTGACTGGGTCATGAGCCCCTGCGGTCAACTGCGGCTGGGTCATGAACCCCTGCGGTCAACTGCGACTGGGTCATGAGCCCCTGCGGTCAACTGCGACTGGGTCATGAACCCCTGTGGTCAACGGGTAAACTGAAATGTCGCGGCAGTCATGCGGGCGTATGTCGCCTTTTTGCACTTGTCACCTATTGTAATATCAGACGCGTCCGATTTCATAAGTGTTGCCAGTTTTCCCGAAATCCTCCCGCATAGCTCAGATTTCTGTTTGAAATAGCTGCTCCGGCGGGAGAGATCTCATTGGGTTCCTCGCTCACATCTATGAACGAAATGCTCCCAATTTGCCGTTTTCAGTGTATGTGTTTTGTAACGTTTGCGATGCACTAATTCGTTGAGATGCTCGCGTCATAAATGCTGCAAAACTTGAAGCACTTGTTTTACGGAACAAGATACAAAAACATGATACTAATATCACGTAAATTCAATGCAACATTATACTGTGGCTTTCGTCCCTACGACGTTTAGCACGGTGGCTCTTGCATGGTCTATATTGACACACTGGTTCAAACTTAAGCCAATGCGCTTTTTGGTAAATGGCCTTTGCCGCTCGCTGAATCAACCACAAACGTTCATTCGTACCGAAGCCAAGTGTTCCAGCAGAAGTAACACTCTTGAAGTTCGCAGGCCCTCAATGTGCGGGTTAAAACTGCTCAAAAGAGGCACTAGCTCTAGTCCGTAACAGCTGACGACAGCCATTAGCAGATTCTCCCGCCGTTATGGCCATGGCTGCTCTATATGAAGGCAATGTAAACCTGGTAACCAGTGGCGGCTAGATCGTTAGACGCTAGATCGGCGAGACCGCGGCGTCATGATGACGGCAGTCGCGACGTAAAAGAGTGTTACACTCTGGGGCTACCCGAAAAAAGAAATGTACTGCTTTGATAACGCATTGACTGAGTGAGTTGAACTCGAAACTCTTATTACGTACATTACATTTCATTACGGTCCTGCGTTTTCATCAGAACATGTTGAGAAAATATACCACAAAGGTGCTGCATTCCGCTTAACGATATTGTTATAAATCTGTTCTATAGCACATCTATTTTGAAAGAGGCGGGCCCCAAACACAGAAGTTCAGGGCGCCGTTGGCTGCGTAACGCCTCGAATATGTCGTCGGATGGCTCGGTCGGACCCGCCGAAGTCGAACCTGGCGACGGACTGTGACGGCCACCGACCGCCCCTGCCGGCCTCAGTGGCAGATCGCTGGGAGAGCCGTGGGCCTCGCCCTCGCCCGGCCGCCACGGGAACGAGGACGTCCGATCTGGCCGCACAGGACGCATCCGGGGCTGCCGGGCTGCCTGGTTCGGGTTACCGCCCAGTTATCGCTAACTGCCTGCTATTGCGGTGCATTGTCGCGAAACATGTGCAGCCTTTTGATGGCGACGGGGTATTTGTTACCGCATTTCATTTGACCGCACAATGTAATTCTTGCGCGTTCAACATCGGTAATTGCGGATAATTTTTCGAATTGTGCTTCGTCCTTATGCGGCCAGTGCTGGTAAGCTTAAGTGGTAACTAAGTGGGGCAAACATTACGGGTTCGGTGTTGTGCGATGAGCCATTTCTAAGATGAAAATGAGCCGAGACCGTAAAGAGAAGTATGTCGGGGGAACAGAAACGCTCGTGCCGGGCTCGTCCCTACGCTGGGGAAACTCGGTGGCAGCAGGACGAGCAGGACGTGCCGGGCTCGTCCCTACGCCGGGGAGACTCGGTGGCAGCAGGACGAGCAGGACGTGCCGGGCTCGTCCCTACGCCGGGGAGCCTCGGCGGCAGCAGGATGAGCGGGACGTGCCGGGCTCGTCCCTACGCCGGGGAGCCTCGGCGGCAGCAGGATGAGCAGGACGTGCCGGGCTCGTCCCTATGCCGGGGAGCTTCGGTGGCAGCAGGACGAGCAGGACGTGGCGGGCTCGTACCTACGCTGGGGAGATTCGGTGGCAGCAGGACGAACAGGACGTGGCGGGCTCGTCCCTACGCCGGGGAGACTCGGTGGCAGCAGGACGAGCAGGACGTGGCCGTGCCCGGTACGCCTTAGTCGCAGCTCCCCTGTTACCATGTGAGACAGACCCCCAGGGGTCCAGCTTTTGAATCTTTTCGTCGGCCAAGAAATCGCCCAGATATCCCCGACAGCCCACAGGCCCAGTTTGTTATTTTCGTGGTACATCGCATCGGCTCCTTTTAAAATCATCGCAACAATGCATATGGCAAATGCGCTTTGAGAAACATCCACGAGTTTTTCATGCGTTTGATATTCACATTCAGCAGGAACCATCGACCCATTCCCCAGCGCTCAAACCTGCCACGCAGCAAGGCGATGGCTCCTCAACCAGCTTGCTAAACGGATTGCCCATGCATTTGAGGGTTTGACCTCATTTGACCATATCAGAACATAGGGAATCCACCCGCCTTATAACTGATGCATATCTACGCCGCCAAAGGAGTAAACGACTCTGGGGCAAGATCATATCAAGTCAGGTATATTTTGCCAACAGTAGACAAGGCCTGTGTGCCAATGGAAGCTCCCTGTCGGTCCGAATGTAGCTGTGCACCATGGTCGGTGGTCTGACTATTCGCTTCCGTGATATTGATTAATGTGTTTGAAAATGACCAGTGTTTCATCTAATCCTGTAGTGATGAGCATGTGTCCCAGATACTGCGTGACAAAAGCGACCACTTTGATTTTCTTCACATCTACTTCGAATGCTACCATAGGCTGTAACGGCGCCAGAAGGTCGAAACTGGCTCGTATCAATGACCTTGACGATCAATGTCGACTATCGATGTCAGGTGCTGTGATCTCTGGAGGTGACAACCTTCAACGTATAGGCTAGCGAGTGCAGAGGTCAGTGTAACTCTATCTGGGTGACATTTGAAGCAACTGTAAAGAAAGTGAAAGTTCATGGCGTTTTCTGCCGTGTAAAGACGTGTGGCGACGTGGTATTTGTTATTCACTCAGTGCTGTATTTCCCATGTATTATGGGAAATACAGCACTGAGTGACGATCTGGCCATTTCCATGCATAAAGGTCAACACCACAGGCATGAATGGCCGCACAACCAGGAAAATTGCAAAGTTGGATTTAGCCCTATTAGCATTTTCCAACAACATTCAGGTCGTGTCTACGTTCGACAAGTTAGTCCATACCTTGATCTTAATTCAATGATCATATGCCAACCATAGTGGGTGGAACAAGTTATTTGTATTATGAAGCCCATTTTTTAGCCTTAAATGTCAAAATTCCGGAACACCGAGCAGTGTTCGCGCCCGTCGGGTCTGGGCGCCCGCTGGACACTGTGAGCACAGTATGGCGATTAACACTGTAGAGTCAGACTCAAATCGCGTTGAAGCGGACGGACTGCAGCATTCTCATTCGCCCTATTTCTCTCAATATCGTGCACGGGGCCTGCATCGCCTTAAAAGTGGAAAAAATAGAGAATAAGTCTGTGGTTCTACATGGGGTCGCGGGAGAGAGATGAGGAAGAACGTTCGCATGCTTTTGGATTGCGTCGGGGAAACAGATTTCGCGGCAGAACAGTGGTTTGAGCTGCCAGCTGTGAATGGCTAAAGGGGTCGATCATTCCATGCCATCCAGCGCTGTCAGCGCGTTCAATATACGCACAGCACTGGCGAGTGTATCAAGACGCCATCACGTAGCATCAGCATGGTGGAGATACGATGAGCTGTTCGCGTCCGGTTTCCGCGGAGTCGGAGCTGTAGCCAGGCTACGGAAGGTCCAGGAAAACGTAGCGCGATAACTCATACTTTCGTGAAATGCTGCTTGTTGAAGATATTCTCAATTTGAAACTAATTAGCAGATGACATGACACGTCCACCGGCATGTACAGTGCGAACTACCTACTTTGTGCCTTTGACTGCCTTAGCTGCGTTTCAAAGCACATCAACAGCACGATGAGCTAAACGGTAAGCTGGCCACACACGCCGGGTCAAATCACTGGGAGCCGTGCCTCTCCCAAACTGAACAGCCCAAAGACAGACCACGTGCGCTTAAGTCCGTCTGACGCACACATCACCTGACACTCTCAGCGATCTCGGAACTCCAAGCACTCTCGCCGCACTTGGGACAGAAGACTCGGCCACATCCGGTGTTAAGCACCCGGTACCATTCCGACTAGGTTCGGTGATCGCGCTGTCTGGCAATAGTCCAGCAAACCCCCGAGCAGCCGCGGCGGCGGGACGCAGCCAATGAGTGATGTCCTGTCATCCACGGCTATGCTTTGATCTTCTCGAAACGGCAGACGAGCTTAGCTTCGAACACACAATGTGCACTGAGTTCACGCGAAGACTTCCCGACACAGGTGCCGGTGAGCAGACTTCCAAAGCGCTGGTTGATGTCTGTCCACGATCCAGGGCCAATGGAGCTGGCACACGTCCGGCACACAACCCCAGCTGAGTGCAGTGTGGACTCCTACGTGGTAAGATTCACCAGCCCAGTGTGAGTGCTCCTCTCGGTGATCAATCACACCCGACCTGTACCCCTCCGCCGTAGGCTCTCAACCCAGCTGCGCCACACGCCCGCCGCTCCACCGGCCGCTCGGCTCGGCCCTAGTCCAGACGGTGATCTTCCGAGTCGGACCCACGACTCGCGACGGGGCTCCTCCGCGTCAGACCCGCGACTCGCGGCGACGTTTCTCCGCGTCAGACCCACGTCTCACGGCAGCGCTTCTCCGCGTCACACCCACGACCCGCGGCGACGCTTCCCCGAGTAAGACCCACGACTCGCGGCGGCGCTCCTCCGCCTCAGACCCGCGACTCGCGGCGGCGCTCCTCCGCCTCAGACCCACGACTCGCGGCGGCGCTCCGCCATCTCGGGGAACTCGTCGGCGAACCGGGAGCCGCGCCGCCGCCGGACCACCGTGATGGGCGCCCGGCCGCCACCGCCGCCGCCGGAGCGGCACCAGTGGCAGGCTCGCGAGCACGCCACGAACAGCAGCAGCAGCCAGACGCTGGCGTTGATCCAGGAGCCGACCATGGCCGTTATCAGCTGGCCGTACGTGTCCATCGCCGTGATCATGTGGTCGCGGTCCTGCAAAGGTCGGCACAGGTGGCGTCATCAGGGGTGGCTGGACCCGATGCTGAGCAGCTGTCACGTCCGTCGACAGCGGGGCTGGGCGGCAGAGGTCTGGTGACGGCTTTTAATGTTTGCAACAGCCGCTTGCTGTGATCCTACCTGAGCCTTGAGTGGGAAGATATCAGTATGCTTTGTAAGCCTTCTCGCTCGGACTGACACCATGGGGTCGTCAAACACCATATAAGGGACGGAGCCGTATAAGGCCATCCACTGCATCGCCAACGCAACCAGGTAACATCCCGGGAAGGCTTGGGTCCGTCCCTCCGCCTGCCCCCGTGACCTGCACTGACCTTGGTGTCGAACCCCTGGCGGCAGGTGAGTACCTCGTTGAAGCTGCTCATGCGCACCTTGCCCTCGTACTCGAAGTCCTCCACCTGGAAGCCGAAGCAGGTGTTGCGCACGCCGTCCGTGAGGATGCCGACCTGCGCCAGGCACAGTGCGCACGTGACCAGCGTGGTGACGCAGGTGGTGACGTCGCCGGCGACCGAGCGGCGCTGGCGGCTGCGCTCCGCGTACACCACCGCCGCCAGCGTGTACACGCACAGGCAGAGCGCCACGGCCAGCGGCGCCACCGGCACGAACGTGGCCACGTAGCAGGCGCTGCTGTCGTGCTGGCCCCAGCTGTCGCGGTCCCGCGCCGCCGCGTACAGCGGGCAGATGGCGAAGTTGCTCCGGCCGGCGCGGTTCTGCCAGATGAAGGTGACGCGGCCCATCGGCACGATGCTCATCAGGCTGGCGGCCAGAGAGAGCACGTACAGGAACGGCGTGCTGAAGTCCCAGCAGGTGGGCCTGAACGGCTCCGAGCGGCCGCAGCCGGACTCCTCCTCCGCCTTCTCTTCGGATGGGTACTGCATGGCTGTAAAAGCGCGTCTCTCGCGTCAGCGCGCGAGTGCGAGTCCGCCCGTCCGCGCTAAAGACCGAGGCTCGGGTTACAGGTCGTTTGTTGTGATCAAACACAGCGTCGGAAGCCTGGTTGGATCGCAGGCGTCATAGGCCGCGCACCAAGTCCGCCGGCGTCACACGCCCTCCTCGGCCGCTGCCTCTCCTTGGATCACAAGTCTACCCGTATCATGCGCTGTCCCCAGCCGCTGCGTCTCCCTGGTTCGCGGGCGGACCTCGGTCGCCTCGCAGACACCATCCACATCACATATCACGCGTCGCCGGGCTGGTCTTTGTCCAGCTGGCGGACCATCCGAACCTCAGCGGTTCTGGCCACGAACCGAGCGTCCCGAGCGTCTCTCGCACTCGTCCAGCACTCAGCGCTGGTCCGACAGCAGCTGCTCGCTCACAGCCACACTGCCTCCGGAACGGCGGTCAAGCTCGACGCTTCACACCACAGCCGTCCCCTCAGCTGCAGCTCACCGCGACACCAGCTACAGCAGGTCACAGCCGCGGCCAGCTCGCGTTGCTCCCTGTGGCACCGGGCCGGACCGCCGCACTACGGGGCGCAACGATAATGAAGGCCGGCGTCCCTCCGCCCCCAGCCGGCTATCGCTGTGTCAACAAGCGCTGCTGCGGTTCCACCTGCCCCGGGAACAGCAGTCTTGGACAGTGACGGGGGCGGCCGCAAACCTCTCTCGACAGCGGCAGCGTGTTCCTGCTGCTCCCAGCTGTGGTTCCTGGCTTGACATCATCATTCTATGTGGAGAGTGCACGCCTTACAGCACAAAGAGTGAGGAGTGACGGACGCCGAGATAAGGCTATCTGTGTGCTGAGCGTAATCTCATACCTCTGCCAGCCCGATATATCGACCAACGGTACGTCACGCACCGCAACCCCGCCCCGAAATCGCACTCCTCAAAGGGGTCAGCCTAGCTGTGGCCCGGACCGTTGTTTTGCATTTGCTGTACCAAACGCGCTACATTCGGATGGATTGAAAAGCGATTGTTAACAAGCTGAACGGGAGGATTATCACATCGCCGTAAGCTTAAACTTATGCACGTGAACTTATGCGTCATCACGTAATTCTTCCACCAGATTCTTGACAAGACTTTTTGCGTTTCGTGAGTGCACTGGTTAGAAACATCTCGACGAAGTCGACTCAACGCGATTATCATTACAAATGCCCACAGTCTGGTGTACGATTCCGCTATAAGAGCAAATTATTCAAATGCAACATTCAACCCTACAACGGCCAGGCAACGGAGCCATCAGAAGTCACACCGAACTCCAAAACCGAATGAAACATGCCATAAGTGATGTCATGTATGTCACAATTGCGCATACAATACACGAGAGGACCATAACATACCTCACACCTCGCGACGCAACATACAGTGTCACTGAAATATACACTCAAATGCCCTACACTCACCAAAAGCCAAGGGCACAATGAAAACAATCCGCCGGCAAATGACCAACTCCTTCATCGCACAAACGCGGGCGCATGTCCAATGCATTTCACCGCGCCATAGACCTTCACCTGACTCTCACAGCGACTGGCAGATCGAAGTAGCTCAACAGGCACATGGTTCCCAACGAACACCAACTGGTCATCCGCCACGGACGGCAGCGCCAGCCGATACAATGCAGTCAAGTATAGCTGGGAATGTCGGGAGGGCTGAGAACCGGCGGCGTAAGACAGCACTACGATATCAGCGGACATGAGTCTGGCGTCGGCACGGCGGAAGTTACGGATGGTCGCCGCGGCGCGGCGCTGACGTCGGCTCAACGGAAGTTACGGATGGTCGCCGCGGCGCGGCGCTGGCGTCGGCTCAACGGAAGTTACGGATGGTCGCCGCGGCGCGGCGCTGGTGTCGGTCCGACCGAAGTTTCAGCTGGTCGCCGGCTCGACAGAAGTTACGGATAGTCACCGCGGTGCGGCGCTGGCGTCGGTACCGATATCAGCGGGGAGTCGGCGGGCGGCGGCGGTGGCGCCATCTCGACGTCACACTCATCCTTTTCCATCTTCTCCCGCAGCTGTTCCAGCAGCGGCTACCAGGGAGACAGGACGGAGGTCACGGAGGCACTGGAAGAGCTCAAGCGAACTTGGTCCTACAGCCCTCAGAACGTGAACGTGGAGTGTGGGGCGTTGGAACCGAGAAGCCGTCTCCCGCGTCAAGCCCTCCCCAGGTATCACAATCAAAGGAGTCATAATTGTCACGTTACTTGACTCCATTCATGATTGGAGACAATGAGACCTTCTGATCAGCATTCAGTCCTGGAGGGACAACTCTCGGTAAAAACACCTGAATGCCGCGACCCGTTTTGGGCTAAGTTAAGCCATGCATTGACATTTCTTACGCGAAAAACACTTAAAATGATGCTCGTGTAATTCGTGTGCCATATTGTAACGTTCATTGGCATCTCCTAGTCCTACTCGACTTTGAAGAATGTAGGCAGGCGGGACCCTCACTGCTCGCCGTTAAAACAAAGCGGCGCCTGACGATGACTGGTCAACTGCCAGCACCGCTGGTCAGCACCATTGGTCAGCACCACCTGTCAACCCCACCAGTCACGCCCCCGGTCAGTGCCACCAGTCACGCCACCGGTCAGTGCCACCTGCTAGCCCCATCAGTCAGCACCACCGGTCAGCGCCACTGGTCAGCACCACCTGTCAGCCCCACCAGTCACGCCACCGGTCAGTGCCACCTGCTAGCCCCATCGGTCAGCACCATCTGCCAGTGCCACCGTGTGACGCCCACACTGACCCGCAGGTTGGGCTGATGGTGGAGCGCCTGCATGAGGGTCTCGCGGCGCGCGTGCGGCAGCTTGGCATGCGTGTGCCACAGAAGCTTGCCCAGCTGCTGCACTACGTTCTCGCGGGCCAGCGCCGTGAAGAAGAACTCGTCGAAGATGACGGTGCAGAAGTCCTCGGTGGCGAGCTCGTCCGACATCCCGATCAGCAGCGTCACCTGCAGCCGCCGGGGTGAGGGCCAGGAAGTCACAGACAGAGGCACTTAAGACCGCACGGCCACTGACAGGGGTCAGCGGCAACAGGACTATCGGGATATTGCACAGAGACACGCCCCCACAGAAAAATCAAACCCAGCAACCTGTCACTAATCAGCATAAACGGGGTGCCTCATACGATTAAAATGCATTGCGGTTTACAGAAGAACCTTGCTTGGCATCACGTATCGCCTTGAAAAGTACGTAAGGCCCATGACAGGGACACTCACCACTGACGCGGCACCATCTGTCATACGGCACTCACCACTGAACTGGTATCTGGTACAACTGTTACCACCTTAACTCCCGCACACGACAGGCCTCGCACAGCCGGCCCCCGCACCCTTGGCCCACAGGCGCGCCAGCCTCTGCCTGGCCGGGACGGCACGGCAGCCCACCCACCAGTGTGTGCAGGAAGGTGTCGTCGAAGGCGCGGTCGCCCTCGCTGGCCGACAGGCAGCCGAGCACGCGCATCAGACCCACGCGGTCGCGACTGCGCGCCGTCTGCAGTGTGTAGTAGACGGCCAGCAGGCAGGCCACGCTCGACTCGGTTATGTACGCCTGGTAGGCGTCCGGCGGTGGGCCTGCGGCACAGAGCGGCTCGGTTATGTGCGCCTGGTGTAGCGCGACATCAACGGGCAGGCTACGCTAGACACACCACCAAGCATCGCAACTTACACCAAGCATTGGGACGGAACGTACACAACGCGGCTGAGTCACGCAGTAAGCACTATACCTCAGACACGGAGCGCAATACGCCAGAACTGGACGGCTCCCGGCCTGTGGTGAGCCCCAGTGTCTGGAGGCGCCGGCGGCCGTCGGAGCGGGCGGCGTCGGCCGCTGCCGGCGCAGGGCGACTCACCCGAGTGCTCGATGATGGTGATGGCCGAGGCCCGCTCGTCAGGCGGCAGCTTCTGGTTGAGCGCGCGCACCTGGTCATCGACGATGAGCGAGACGAGCGACGGCACGAACTTGGTGACCACCTGCGGGTCCAGCCGCGGCTCGCGGAACTCCTGTCACGCGCGGCGGACCGGTCAGCGGGACGCCACGCCCGCCGCCGCCGCCGCCGGGGCAGGCCGGCCGGGGCGCACAGTCACCGTACGCCACAGACCGGCCGCTGGCATACCGCACGACATGGTCACGGCTGGTAACGCCACCTCCAACAGGTAACAACAAACAACTGAGCGTCACCAAATACGATTCTTACGCCCGTCAGCCCGTCACTCTTGACACATGTTCGAGAATGGACATCATTGACGACGCCTACGGCATAACTTAACTAATAAAACACGGACGCAAACAGCCCAGCCCGAGCCCATCCAGCTCCTTGACGCCGAAGAACACATGCTCACGGCCAAAGCACGCTGAACCCATCGGGCACGAGCCCGTGAACTCTAAGCACAACCGCGCATTACATCCTGCCGCGAGCATTATGATCACTCTTGTACGCTGGCATCATGCAAGCCTTGCGCATAAAAAGCAGATTTCATGTAGCTAATGTAGAAAAGCCGACGCATTGAGACGAAGCTGACCTGCCGGTCGATCATGTCCCAGGCGTGTAGGCCCAGCTCCAGCATGCAGCAGCAGCAGCAGCACAGTGTGCTCGCGCGGCAGGCTCTCGTTGTTGATGAGCTGCGCCAGGATCTTCAGCGCCGACGTCGCCAGGAAGTTGACGGCGAACGGGTCGCACAGGATCATAGACAGGTCGCTGAGGATCTGCCGAGCGGGCGTGGTCGGTCACGCCAGGTCATCGGCCGGCCACGCCAGGTAATCGACCGACCACGCCAGGTCATCGGCCAGCCACGCCAGGTCATCGGCCAGCCACGCCGGGTCATCGACCGGTCACGCCAGGCCATCGACCGGTCACGCCAGGTCATCGACCGGTCACGCCAGGTCATCGGCCGGCCACGCCAGGTCATCAGCCGGTCACGCCAGGTCACTGGCCGGTCACGCCAGGTCACTGGCCGGTCACGCCAGGTCATCGGCCGGTCACGCCAGGTCATCGACCGGTCACGCCAGGTTATCGGCCGGTTACGCCAGGTCATTGCGCGGTCACGCCAGGCCATCGCTGGTCAGGACCTCCAAAGGCCCGGATGATGACGACACATAATGCCTCTGGTAGAGACCCGACGGGGCAACACCTCAGACGTCCCCGCACGCCCGAAACCCCTGCAGTTCTCGTCCTACATCTCACGAATACACCATGCAGTCACCCAGTACTACGCGCAACGGACACAGATTGTCGAATTAACACCACACAGCTGAGTTTCTCAGTAAAATACAAGAGCCGTTCCACAAAATCATGGGCCGACATCAGCCGCTGTCACTTACCAAGACTGGAGACATGAGAGGCATGCAACATGTGTTCGACCCAAGATAACACCCAACACAAGAGTTCGATCCAAGATAATGCAATTCATGCGCGGTTCAGCGCTCATGCCTTGACAACCGAGCAGGTCCAGACGGCCGCCGCGCATCCCCTCCCAGCGCCGCCTCTGGCGAAGTCACACGCGTCTGGCGACGGCCGGGCTCACCTGTTCGTTGCCCTTCCTGATCGAGTCGAGGAAGCCCTGCAGCTCGCGGCCGCGCTTGTTGTCCACGGTCCGCTCCCGGATACAGGCGTCCAGGCACCAGGTGAACTTGTGGCACGGGTCCACGTCGACGATCTCCTGGTGGCGGACGGCGCGGAGCGTCAGCGGCCAGGCGCTCCCACAGCCCGGCGGAGGCATCTAACACGGCAGCGGCTGGGCCTAGCGGGACGCGACGCGGCACAGGGTGGAGCGTGGAGGGCCAGGCGCTCCCACAGCCCGGCGGCGGCACCGACCGCGACAGCGGCTGGACCGAGCGGGGCGGGACGCGACGCGGCACGGGGTGGAGCGTGGAGGGCCAGACCCTCCCACAGCCCGGCAGCGGCTGGACCGAGCGGGACGCGACGCGGCACAGGGTGGAGCGTGGAGGGCCAGACCCTCCCACAGCCCGGCGGCGGCATCGACCGCGGCAGCGGCTGGGCCGAGCGGGACGCGACGCGGCACAGGGAGGAGCGTGGAGGGCCAGACCCTCCCACAGCCCGGCGGCGGCATTGACCGCGGCAGCGGCTGGACCGAGCGGTGCGGGACGCGACACAGGGTGGAGCGTGGGGGGCCAGACCCTCCCACAGCCCGGCGGCGGCACCGACCGCGGCAGCGGCTGGACCGAGCGGTGCGGGACGCGACACAGGGTGGAGCGTGGAGGACCAGACCCTCCCACAGCCCGGCGGCGGCACCGACCGCGGCAGCGGCTGGGCCTAGCGGGACGCGACGCGACACAGGGTGGAGCGTGGAGGGCCAGACCCTCCCACAGCCCGGCGGCGGCACCGACCGCGGCAGCAGCTGGACCGAGCGGTGCGGGACGCGACGCGGCACAGGGTGGAGCGTGGAGGGCCAGACCCCCCCCACAGCCAGGCGGCGGCATCGACCGCGGCAGCAGCTGGACCGAGCGGGACGCGACGCGGCAAAGGGTGAGGCGTGGAGGGTCAGGCGCTCCCACAGTCCGGCGGCGGCATCGACCACCGCGACGACGCAGGTTACGAGCAGATACAACGATCTGCATTCTGCCACGTAACACCCTTCATGCCAACCAGCGTCAGCAGATCACAGGACACACGTTAAAAGTAGTTGCTACGACCCAGCGCGATGATGTCATCAAAGAGAGGCCTTCTCTCCCACGGGCAGTGTTGCTTAACGTGGCAACAGCGTGCTGCCGTCCCACCTGGATCTCGAGGTCGTGCAGGGCCATCAGCAGCTCCGCACGCAGAGTGCAATAGTGCACGTTGCGCGTCTTGACGAAGAGCGTGCGCAGAAACTGCAGCACCATGTCGTAAAGCTTGACGCTGTGGCCGATCATGTGCACGATCTTCTGGATGATCTCGCCTTGCCGCCGCACCTGAGGCGCAAGGCACGCGCGCTGGTGGCGACGGACACTCCCACGCGGAAGATCACTTACGGGCGACCATTTCATACAGCACACAACGGAAAGCCACCGGTGGCACGCTTCACAACTATCACAACGCATCTCAAATGCTCATCGCGGACGAAAAACGACCGTGAGGTACTTTCACGTATTATGTCGACATGTCCCGACATGAATGAAACAACACCTAGAACAACACCTGGCTTTCTCATGGTAGTACGACCGAACTTTGCAATATTGCAACGATAGAAACCAAAACACATTCAGCGGAAACGCATACCCGCAATTCGGAACTAGCAGCACTCGCAACAGGCTAGCGCGGAAGGCGCCGACGGTGCGACCCCTTCCCCCGCCCGGTCCCGGAGGACGCGGACCACAGCCGGCTACCTTGGGCGTCAGGTCGAAGAAGTTGGTGAGGTTGGTGTGTGTGAGCAGCGCCGCCTCCTTCTCCTGCACGTACTGGATGAAGAGCGGCGACACCTCGTCTCCGAACAGCGTCTGGTGATCCGTCCAGATCTGGCGCTTCACCTCCGTGTCCAGGTCGTTGTAGAGCTCCTTGTCACGCACCTGCCGACGCATTTCACATTCCGCTTTTCCAGCCGGGCCCAGGCGTTGGTGCGCGATACTAGGCGTCAATCGTAGAAGGCGGCGCATTATACAGCGCACGCACCACAAACCTCGTCCCGCCACTAGTACAACACAGAACGTGTTTTACTTATGGCTGCAGCACATACGAGCACCAGGTGCAAAAGCAAGCAGCCAAACCCCACCACAACCAGCAAACCGCACATTTACCTCAATCAAGCCCTTCAAAGGCCCGCTCGGTCACGCCGTCCGTTCCGTTTCCACTTACCAAGACCTTGAGGAACTTGTGGTCCACCTCGCGGGTGTGTTTGAGGATGGCCATGACCACGGGCCGCAGCGTCTTGAACCTGATGACCGGGAACGACTTGTGCAGGAGGTCGCGCAGCTTCTTGTCCCGCTCGCGGCCCTCCAGCCGGCCAATGGCGTTGATCTGCTGGATCAGCTTATCGCACAGACTCTGCGGAACGGGCCGATGTCAGTGCCGCCGCCACCTCGGGCTCACAGGGACCAGCTGATGTCAGCGTCGCCACCACCCCGGACTCACAGGGACCAACTGACGTCAGCGCCGCCACCACCCCTGACTCACAGAGACAAGCTGATGTCAGCGCCGCCACCACCCCGGACTCACAGGGACGTGCTGATGTCAGCGTCGCCGCCACCCCGGACTCACAGTGACGAGCTGATGTCAGCGTCGCCGCCACCCAGGGCTCACAGGGACGAGCTGATGTCAGCGCCGCCACCACCCAGGGCTCACAGGGCACTCTCAAGGGAACAGCTGACAGCAATGCAGCCGAATTTCCAACGTCGGTGCATGCCAAACCAAACCAAACCAAACCAAACCAAACGTGTGCCTCCAAACCTGCTGTAAGTCGAGAGTAGCACCGGGAGGGCGACGCTACTGCGCCCTATCGGTGCCACTGCCACCGGTGCCACCTCAAAGGCAAGGCACCTTAAAGTAAGGTAAAACATTTCGTACCGTGAGGGCCGATATGGTTATCTAACAAGTCTAAATATTGTGACACACCACTGTTTGTCTCACCAGCAGCACTGGCTGTCAAAAGCACTACGTCTTTATCAGCAACACTGATCGTGCTGAGTATGAATGCATCGTACGGCGTCTTCCTACTTTCATGAGTTATTACTATTTGACTCATCATTGTTATGTTTTTTCGTGTGACGCTTAATAGCACTTTTGTACTGAATTGCTATTAGAATCGAATACTATGCCACATGCTGGACAAATTATTTATAAATTAGCTTGACTTGTCGCCTAAAAAGCTTATATTTCAGACTTAAGTGCATATAACAAAATTCACTCATAAAATTACCACGATTGGGGCTTTACATATCACCGACTGCCAGACCCATTCAGAGGCGGACGCCTTTATTAAGTTGTATGGGGTGCGGTGGCGACGTGGCAGGGGTCCAAGCCCAAGACCGACAGGTCCGGAGTCGAGCGTTTTAACCACCATCCCAATATCCTACTACCGCCTCTAAAAAATTCCCTTGACATATGTCGGACAAGCAAAGCATGACAAGTTACCAATGCTAATTCTGACTGACATATGTCGGGCGAGCAAAGCATGAGAAGTTTGTTAATTCTCAGTTTGGTACCACCATCCGGCACAAACCGGCGGGCCGACCAGTTCAGCTCGCCACTGGCCACGCAGCAGAATCACACCCCTCTTACGGCGGCGAGGCCCGTGGCACGGGAGCACACCCACCTCCATGACGGACATGTGGAACTCGAACCGCTTGACGCCGTGCAGGTCGAGCAGCGGCAGCATCGGCCGCAGCGACGGCAGCAGGATGCCATTCTCGGCCTGCAGCCGGCAGCACACGCGTCATCAGGCGGTGAGGCGATACACCACAGGGCGGACAGCCGCCCGGCTCGGTGGGAGCAGCAGGGCACTTAATGCCGCACACAAACCATGACATATTCCATGGACAGACACTGAGCAGTCAAGCTTAACTTCCGAGAGACCACATGTTTGGAAGGGTTCCCCAGTTTCAAACAAACGGTCGAAGTTGGAGTGCAAGTTGCGATGAAACTAGTCCCATATGTGCTTGGGCTTTGTTGGCTATGCATACTTTGTGATTGGTTTTCCTGAATATCCATGTGCTAGTATCGAACTAAATAGAAAAACACAATGCTTACCTGAAAGTCACCAATTGCCTTCAAAGGATCTGAACAGCTTGTCAGGGCCTTTCTGAGGTACTCCTTTCCCGGAATACCGATTTCTTCGAGTCCACCTCCGGACATGGCTCACTGTGAAATACACAGACCAGGATATCTTCAACCACACACAGGCTAGTCATGTGCTAGTAGAAACGTGAGAAGCTGATGAATGTAAAAAATTGGAACCGCAAAATGCCTAGTAAAATGTTCAACATTGCAGGAGTGTTCTTATTGTTTCTGCCTATCATGGCATTGCACAAAAACTGGTTTTAGCAAGAGGCTTTGACATGCTTGTATAAGAACCAGTCATCGCCCAAGGCTTGGGGGTAAAGGGGGAGGCAGTGCAATGACAGGCTGATATTGTGGTAGCCTCATTGTTTACTGAGCAATTTGCAGACAGATCAGTTATTGATGTGAAGGGTCAAGTTGGGCCAACAAAGACGAAATGCTCATAAAAGGGTCCATGCATGTAGCTCACTCCTACCTTTTGACATCTTTTACCTTTAAAATCATTTCATTCATTTAGGGGTATATTCGTGTGAACCTACGAACATGACATTCATATTCCTTAAATGCTGAATTCCCATGCCGTAATTGGTGGCAGCTGCATCCCCTAAGCATGGCATTTACTGGACAGATATGCTGGCAATCATTTGCTGACATCACCCAGGTTTTAACCCTGCTGGCAAGGGAGGCAGCCATGCAGAATCTAAGCACCTCTACACACCCAGGCCGTGACATCTGCACAATCCACTGACACCAAGTAAGGCCAATGGCAGGTTACCTGTACATATGACATTTGTCAGAACACATTGGACACATTTGGAAGCAGCAAACTGTACCAAGTCCAAAAATTGCCTCATATTACCCATAGGCTGTACATTTACAAAACAACTACAAGAAATAAAAGCATTCTAAAAGATGACGGTACATGAAGGCTTCATCTAGGCAATACAGCCCATAAGAATTTGCTAGGCAGCAGTCCTACAAGCTCCAAAACTTCCTCTAAAAATGTGCAATGAGGCACTTCTGCCCTTTCTGACTATTCAAAAAAATATATTTAGTCCGAACATTCTGACTGGATGGACTTCTGGATCAACACCAATGTTAAGCAGTGAGAGCTCTGAGAGCCCTGAGCCAGACCCCACCATCTCCATGATCACCACCACCATCCACCACCCATCATGAAATTCCACGTCAAAGGCACAATTTTATGATGAAGGGCAAAGTGCCACAATGCTGGGCACAATCTGTCCTAACCTCCGACATTTTGCCACCCCAAGACCTCAAGGTGGCTGCTGTCATGGCCACATAGTCAAACATAAATAGTGGGCGCCTGAAGCAACCCATACCTAACCTAACACTCCATGCAAATGAGCCCTGACTAAATGAGCTATTGGAGTCATCACCCACCTTACCTGACATTTCCTCCTCCCCCCCCCCCCCCCCCCCACAAAAGCCCTATGTTCATCCCTATGCCCTTGAGCATGGTCAATGACAAAAAACCAAACTACAGCTGTTTTGGCAGTACTTTATGAACCTGACCAGCTATGGGGAATATTTGTCATTTTGAGATCCAGTACTATAATTATGACCATCACATACAGTATGTTCTGGCAAATATCACACACTGGTGTCCCTTAATTGACCTGGCCTGGTTCTTTTACTTTTACTAACCCTTTATTGAGACTAGTTAAATTTTTAGCTATGCAACTGTACTAACATCACAGCCAGAATATCCAGATAAGCTGAAATTTTTGCTGTCAACTTTTCACACATCTCTGTGGCTTAAAATGCTGAGTAGCACACAAACACACAGACATGGGTCACTTTTGTGACACATATAGATCAAGCTAAGCAATGATCAATGAAGAGCAGACACAGACTTGTGCTTAATTTCCAGATGGGCACCAGCAGCAGCTTAATCAGAACATGTTTGCCCATTCAAATACAGCAATTGAGTGCAATTTAAGTCCCTGACCATTTCTTAACTGACATGCTCACACTAAAACTGACAGAACACCATTTTTATGCAACATATTGAAACTGATACTTATTACTGATACTTTGATCCTATTTTCAGAATCCATGTGTACTGTCACTCTTTTGCCCTACATGTCATTTAAGGGTTCGGCATATCTTAAGCAAATACAATTTGCATTGTTACCTTACCCTGACCATAGTTGGGTCAAGGCCTACCATTGTCTTGTTTGATTTGGTGGTTATACATGGTGAGAATGTTGTAACCACAATGTGATTTGGAACTCAACTGCTTCCACAGGCCACTAATCTTACTTACTGACCAGTGGCATCATGCAAGCCAAACCACCTTAAAAAAGCTCCAGCCACTTTCATAACCAGTAGAGGCAAAACCACTAAACCTCTAGCAAAAGGTGAGCACAAGCTCAAATATTAGATCCCAAATATCCAAAAGGTGAAAAGTATGACCAAAATTGACCAACCCATTATGACTTGTCCACACAATATAAAGTCCATCAAGCATTCATCATGTTAGTACACAAGATGTTTAGATTGATATTTCAGGTGAGGCCCTTGCACATCCAAAAACCAGTACCATATTTTGACACACACACATGCATCTAACATAAACAAGAACTAAATAACTGTTTCTGAATATTCACTATAAGTTTTATACCATGTTCAACTTAATATCCATGAATCAACTTGGTTTGCCCAAAAACTTAATGCATCTAGTCTCAGATAGCAGGTATCAAGAGATATATGTTATGCTAAACACAATAAACATCCAGCATAATTACAAACTGATGATAACATTTCAGATGATCCACACAATAAATTGAAATTGCCTGATTTTGGTGCATGGAGTATACTGGTTACAGGGCATGGGGAGCCAGGATTCACAGAAATAAAAACAACATACTTGCAATCATGTGCAGGAAAATACCCAAAACATGCATGAATTGATACACATATGTAAATAAACCTAAAACTCAGTACATTTAGCCTGAATGGAGCCTGGTCATCACATCATTTCACCTAAGTTCACTTCAATGATACAAAGAAGCTCAACAAAGCATGATTTTATTTTAGATAAGCATGGCTATGGTTCAAGTAAAACAAATGGTGCCATTCACTACCATGGTCAGGTCCAAATAAGCATCATATACACAGAAAGTGCTGTTGTATTTTCCTAGCCATTGTGCTGCAAAATAAATCACATATCAACATGGACATGCACCAATGAAAGAAGTCATAACCAGCCGTAACCCTCCCACTTCCTAAAGCGGTCTAAATCACCTAAGTCTAATGCACAAACCATACAGCACTGGCATCAGTAGATGAACTAGATATTTGGGAAAACCAGCGATATCTTGATTTACCTCAGTTAACCACGTAATGTCAGCAAAACGCCTTCTTCCTCGCATTAGCCGCTCATCCAGTTCAATTTCGCGTCAGCCAACATATACATTTGCGACGCTACCGCTAGGTAATTTTACCATCATGGTCACAACTACATTCAGCTAACGGCATGATGACCTCACAAAACCATGAAAGCAATGCCGGTCAGACGGGGCCAAACGGGGCCGAACAGAGTAGCATGAGACCGGACTACATCGGACGGAACAGAAGTTCTGTCCTGGATGTGGTGCCGCTTGCTTCCGGTCACCGGATGCACCTGGATGGAACGTGTTGATACCAAACGGAATCGGATGTACAGGACCGGATAAGGCGGACGGGACTGAACGGGACCCGACGAGAACCTACCAAACCAGATGTGGCCAAGCGGGAAAATACCAGCATGTACGGGATCGGACTGAATAACACGGGACCAGCTGAGAGCAGACGTGACCGGACAGGCTCAAACGGCATCAGAGGGCACCAGCCATGACTGAAAGGAACCGAACGGAATGAAACGGGACCAGGCGGGTACGGACGGAACCGGATAGGACGCAATGAGGCCAGTTGGAGCCGGATCGTGGTGCTTCTGGTCGTCCAAACCGTATCCTGTGCGACTTAACAGATCACACATAAACTGTGGAGCAGGAATGAGCCCCACTCAGACGGGCGTTCCGGACTGCGGTCGCAGAGGTCACGCCAACTGACCTGACTTGACGGAGTCAGCTGGTGTGAGCCTGATTCCACCCGGGCGACCGCCTGAGAGGTCGGCAGTATAACATGGGTGAGGCAAAGCTGGACTGACAGTATTTGACGCAACCGGACGGGACCCGACAAAACCAGACGAAACCAGACGGGTACCGCCAGGACTAGACGAGACCGCACGGGGCCGGATGGAATCAGACGAGACCAGATGTGACCAAACGGGACCGGTATGAACCGGACCGAACCGGGCGGAACGGAATCGGAAGGCACCGGACCCGTGGTTTAAAAAAATGACCCAAACCCCTTGAATGGATGGATTTCTGGGATCAGCGCTCACGTCAAGCAGTGCTCGTTGTGTGAGCCCTGCCCCCACCATCCGATCGCGCAATTCTAGGCAACGGCAAAATTTATTGGCGAAAGCTTAACGTGCCGCAATGCTCGGCACGGTTCGTCCTGCACTCTGACGTCAACTAACCTTTAGCGCGAACGATGCCACCGGCCGCAGGCCATACCTGTCAAGAGCAAATAGCGGGCACCCTTAAGCGACTCGAACCCACCTTGCCACGGGTGGGTGGATCGAAAGACAGGTGCTCTAACCAACTGAGCCACCGGGACGGACAATGGTTGAATGAAACCACGGACGGCACAGAACAGGACTAGCCAGAACCTATCGGAACCGGATGAAAGATATGGGGGCAGACGGGTCATGATGAGGCCACTTGGGTCCGAGAGGAACCGAAAGGGATGTTAGGCGGGATCAGACGGGGCTGAACGGAATGGGAATGGATCGATCGCGCTAGAACCAAATTAGACGAAACCGGATGGTACTGGACGAGTCTGGACGGGATAGGATGGGACTGGGCAAGACCTGATGGGACCAGACGTGACTGGACGGAACCGGACGGAACCAAACAGGACCAAGCGTTACTGGACGAGGTCGAGCAGGATAGAACGGTACCGCACATGAACAAAATGAACCAGACCAAACGCATAACAAGCATTTTGATGATCAGAAATCCCAACATAAGCCGGTTTATTAGCAGAGCACACCCATAGAGGCGTCAAGACAGGGAAGGGATATTTCTAATGAAACTCGATTTGAATACATCGCTTATTTTTCTCGTCTTTCAGAAAAAATCAGGCACCCTTTACAGGTAGTCCCTCAGAATTGTTATTCCGATAGCATCTAAACTGCTTAGAAAGTTAGAGCTCTTTCAGTGGTGCTGTGACGTCACCAAAAAATGAGCTGATTGTAGTTGCTGACCGCTCAAAAATCAGCATCGTTACATAATCAGCTGACACCGCGTCTCAAATTCACGTGCTAGTTGGTGAGCGCTGGGATTGTTGTTGAGTGTGGGTGTAACCTTATTTTCATTTATGTGGCATATAGGGGTCAATTGGATGGCTTGGGATATTCATAAATGGCTTTTCCGTCTAATTTGATAGATATTTTTCCGCTCCCATGCAAAATTTAGTTGATTCAGACTATAAGGAAGCACAAGGCTTACGCCTGAAATACACAATCATTGTGACTGGAAAGTATGGGGGAAAACGTCATTCATTTTCGTTAAATATCACTTATAACTAAATTAAGAGTTAGAGATGTTCATAATATCTAGTGCATCATCTAATGCTATTTTTGTGGGGTTTGTGTGTTAAAACAATTTTATTCAAGCATTGTGAGGAATTGTTGGGTCTCTGCAGGTGATATCCACCATTTATATGATAATCAGCGTGTCATCATTCATGTACACATGCATCCCACAAACTGGACATATCTTGGCACCATTCCTGATAATAACTCGTGAATTTCCAATATCAGTAGTGGGATGCCATGGTGTAATGTAGGCTACACTGAATAGTGAGTATCTGCCAACCATTGCAGGAATGGTAACAAGGTGTCTTCGCAGCCTGAAATTCTGCCACAACTGTGGCTGAAGCTGCTCTGTTTGATTGGAAACTGAACCCTTTTGCTCCCAGAAGCAATCTTGTACTGGGATAATTGGCCTGAGGCAGCTCTCATTGGCTTATGGGCACAGTTAAATGAGCCACCCCATTTCAGAAATCAGCCCCCAAAATGCCAGAAGCTGCTTATAGCTTCAAGCTTTTTCTCAAAGCTACAGCTTGTCTAGATCTGCTACTTTTTGACTGGTAAAACATTGTTTTGCTTCTATGGATGTGTTATTGTCTTGTTTATCATTATGGGCACAAATGACCACTGCAGCTGACGTGCCCGAAAACACCAATGAAGAAGAATGTCTTTTTTGCTTTTGCTATCATCTTTTATGATTTGAATGATTTAATACATGCTTATCTAACTATTTGTGCTCATCATTATACTGGTGTACACCAGCACCACCATCTGCAGCTGACTACATGATGTCAATTAGTATTCATATGTCAGGGCTCCCAGTATCACCCACATGCAAACACTCTTTTGTTGACTGGTGAATCTACCAAAGCTATTCTTTGTCTCCTCTGCAGCTTTACAAGGCACTTTGTTGCACCCTGAGCTGAACATGACTGAGGGTTAAAAATCATACATGGTAAAGTGTCTGTTTTGGAAATATCCAGAGTTCAACTAGCATTCCAGATGCAAGAGTAGCTCCCAGTAGTATGTTGCATGTTCTTGCAGTGCCAAATCAGTCTGCAGGAGTAACAGTCATTTTCTTGGGGCCTTCATCAAGACCACCACCCCAGTACCATTATCTGTGTATGTATGTCCATAGAGCAGCAGACCAGCAGAAAAGTTTGTATTTAGGGAGAGGGATGGGGCTCCAAACATCTCCCAGAACATTGCAAAAGGGAGTAAGCCATTTTTATGTGTATTGCTCTCTGCTCAGCCTCTGCCCTCCCTGGGTTGTTCAGCAAAACTGCACCCTTTCTGCAGTTCAGTGTTCAGAGAATGTCCAGACCAGAATGTCTTGGTCGCACACATGTTCACCTCTGATGCAGCCCACAGGAGATGCAAGATTATGGCTGTCACATTAAAAAGTACAGACTACAGGCTCAAAAGACACATTTTTGCATTAACTTCTGTTTCATTTCAGAACTGTTCCTGTGGACCCTTTGTGCAGAATACTGGAGCTGAATAGAAGAAGTTGGCACAATGTTTTCTTCTATTGTAGCCTTTATTAAAGGCAGCAGCCTTGCCAAGCTGGCATGTCTGGACTTTGGAATCCAGTGGGGGCTGTGGGTTTTCTCAGCAGCCCTCCACACTGAGAAGTTTTATGACTTAGCAGGTATGCAAGGGTGTATGACTTCCAAATACACTTTAAATAATTTAGCAGAGTAGACCTTTCATCCTGAGCCAGTGTCACAATCATGCATGGATGTCACAAGTGCAAGATCACCCAAGGTTGGCATTACAAAATGTCATGAAATGACCACAGGTGACCTCCACCCTTCAGCTGCAGGTGGTGACATGCTTTGACCTTTGTTAGCCTCATGGAGAGCTGAGGCAGAAGGTCCTGCATAGGATCCAGAAGGATCCAAGGTGATCATATGCAGAGTGTGGGTGAGGGCTCATCCTGGTTGGTCCTGTGTGGCTCTGTTGTCTGATCGCTGCCAATGTTATCATCCTGCCATCACCACCCAGGGTCGTCCACGTACCTGGTGTTGGTGTACCTGGCCTTCGAGTGGTCGCGGGGACAGACCTCGCCGCAGTCGGTGCAGCGCAACATGGTCATGATCTGGGCCATCCGCCTGGGGCTCTACCTCTTCGTCCGGGTGCTGAAGGACGGCGGCGACAAGCGCTTCAACAAGGCTCGCGACAGCCCCTCCACGCTCTTTGTGTATTGGACTCTGCAGGGTGAGACTCGGGTTTGAGGCACTGCGGCCAGGCACTACGGCCACAGTCTGCCATGTTTTCTGCTGGCTGGTTGATGGGCCTTGGGTTTAATAACTTTGCTGTTTGCATTGTTGCGTCAGTTTTGCAATGTCCGTATTTACACTGTCTCTGTGCGAGCCATATCACCACCTTGTATTAGATGATTGGTGTGCGCTCGCGTGCCTTGCGTGCGTGTTGGCGTGGGTGTGTGTGCGTCTGCGTGCGCCGTGCGTGCGCCGCTCCCGCAGGGGTAAGCCGTGACATTTGTGTGTGTTATGCAGGGGTGTGGGTCTTGGTGACCCTGCTGCCAACACTGGTCATGATGGACGGCAGCGAGCGCCGGCAGCCCTGCACCCAGCACTACGTCGGCTGGGCCATGTGGGCGGTCGGCTTCGTGTTCGAAGTGGTGGCCGATTATCAGAAGACTGTGTTCAGAAATAATCCGGCCAACAAGGTGAGGAGAGCTGGGGAGAAACTACCATAGACAACGTGCCATGCATTTGTCACTTACTCGGCCAGCCCGTGGAAGTACCCAATTTGCGACAGGTGGTATTTGATGAGGATTGTGTGAGGATTGTGAAGGAAAGGGTCCTCACGTTTATTATGGAAATAGCATGTTGAAAATTGATGAGGTCATTGGTGGGCTGATCAAATGCAAGAAGCAGAATGTGATAAGCAAGCCTCACATACCTAATACCTTCGTTTTTGTCTCGAGTGGTGCTATCTAGTGGGGTCTTTCGTCACTGACGACTCTTCGCTGACGGCTCCGCACTGTCGGACACCAGGTCCCCACTGGTTTCCCCCTGCTGCTGGGTTCCCACTGCTTACCCTTCGCTGCTAACTCCTCACTGATGGCCCCTCACTGACGGCTCTCCACTGCTGGCTCCCTACTGCTGGCTCCCCTCCGCCGGCTCCTCTGCCGGCTCCTCTCTGCTGGCTCCTCACTGTCAGCTCCCCACTGCCAGCTCCCCACTGCCAGCTCCCCACTGCCAGCTCCCCACTGCCAGCTCCCCACTGCCAGCTCCCTGCTGCTGGCTCCCCACTGTCAGCTCTCCACTGTTGCTCCCCATTACCAGGCCTCCACTGTTGGCTCCCCACTGTCAGCTCCCCACTGCCACCTTCCCACTGCAGACTTCTCACCGCCAGCTCCCCCACTGCCAACTCCCCACTGCCAGCTCCCCACTGTCAGGTCTCCACTGTCAGCTTCCCCACTGTCAGCTCCCCACCATTGGCTCCCCACTGCCAGTTCCCTGCTGCTGGCTTCTCACCGCCAGCTCCCCACTGCCAACTCCCCACTGCCAGCTCCCCACTGTCAGGTCTCCATTGCTGGCTCCCCACCGTCAGCTCCCCACTGTAGGCTCCCACTGCTGGCTCCCCACCGCTGGCTCCCCACTACCAGCTCGCTGCTGTTGGCTTCTCATCTGCCAGCTCCCCATTGCCAACTCCCCACTGCCAACTCCCCACTGCCCAACTCCCCAAGTGCCAGCTTCCCCACTTGCCAGCTCCCCACTGCCAACTCCCCACTGCCAGCTCCCCCACTGCCAGCTCCCACTGCCAACTCCCCACTGCCAGCTCCCCACTGCCAACTCCCCACTGCCAACTCCCCACTGCCAACTCCCCACTGCCAGCTCCCCACTGCCAACTCCCCACTGCCAGCTCCCCACTGCCAACTCCCCACTGCCAACTCCCCACTGCCAACTCCCCACTGCCAGCTCCCCACTGCCAGCTCCCCACTGCCAGCTCCCCACTGCCAACTCCCCACTGCCAACTCCCCGCTGCCAGCTCCCCACTGCCAACTCCCCACTGCCACTCCACTCCCCACTGCCAGCTCCCCACTGCCAACTCCCCACTGCCAACTCCCCGCTGCCAGCTCCCCACTGCCAACTCCCCACTGCCAGCTCCCCACTGCCAACTCCCCACTGCCAGCTCCCCACTGTCAGGTCTCCATTGCCGGCTCTCCACCGTCAGCTCCCCACTGTTGGCTCCCCGCTGCCAGTTTCCTACTGCCAGCTCCCCACTGCCAGCTCCCCACTGACCAGTTACCGGTCGCCAGGGCCGCTTCATCACGACCGGTGTGTGGTCGCTCAGCCGGCACCCCAACTACTTCGGCGAGGTGCTGCTCTGGTTCGGCCTGTACGTGTCGGCGTCGGCCGGCTGGAGCGGCTGGCGCCACCTGCTGGTGCTCTGCCCACTGTTCGACTACGTGCTGATCAGCCGGCTGAGCGGCGTGCCGCTGCTGGAGGCGGCCGGCCGGCGCCGCTGGGGCGCCGAGGCCGCCTACCAGCGCTACCTGGCCACCGTGCCGCAGCTGGTGCCGCTGATCGGCTCCACGTGACCTGCCGGCGGCCTCCGGCGCGGGGGAGGGGAGGGGTCGCCTCTGACGCCGGGGCTCGTGGGGCGCGGGCGCGCGCTGCACGGCGCCTACGGGCCTGGCTTCGGCTGCAGGGATCTGTTGTTTACATGAAGATCAGCTGTACCGGTTTATGATCGAATGGGATTAAGGATATCGTGTTTCGTATTGTGTCGTTTATGTCGGTGCTTGTTGCGTCATGTCAATGGCGTGTCCTTGTCTGTCTCTGGCATCTACTTATGGTAACTAGGACGCTGCACATCTGAGTAAGTGTACGAGATTAGTTGGTGGTACGAGCAGGCAATAGTCAGCTGCATTTAGTCGATTCTTGTCAGAAACCCAGGCCAGTGCAAACAGCGTAACGATTCGTGAGTCTTATCTATTGTCAGTCTATGTGCACATCATCCAGGTAGGCGGCAGTTATTAAATAATCTGTGTACTCCTCCCTAACCGCACCCGAGGTGAGCAATTCTTTTTGACCGAGCCGGAGAGGTCTGTTGAAGACGTCGTGAAGGTGTCTGGTAATTCGCCAGCCGGTGCGGGAATATGAGCATTGGTAGTGGTCTGTGCACTCGTCGAATTTGTGAGCAAGGTCTATGACCGAAAATCCATTCAAAATGCATCTTTAGGGCTATCGCGTGTCAGGTCATTGTAAGCTAACCTTGATTGTAAGGAGATAGTTTAAATTCAAGCGGTCTCAGTTGACTCTACCCTGGTGTACTGCTTTCGCAAGTTGTATGCTGTCATTTACTAAGGTACCTCCTGTTCCATTGGCCCGATGATCAAAATGTCCGCGTAGTCGTCGTGTCGGGTCTGAGTACACTCGCTCCACTGCACCGTTTTGAAATGTGCGCCGGCGACTTCCTTCGCTTTGGTGAGTTTTCTCTGAAGTCTCAGGGGGGGGGGGGGGAAGGGGAATTACACTTGGCCAGGTCAGAATTTTGAAGCATCTGTCACGTTGGTGTACATGTGGCTGTGGCTCTGGATAACCTATGTGCCGTTGGCAATTACAATTTCCTTGATGGCTATAGACGTGGGTAATTACTCAGGTTGTAATACATAGGTACAAACGGGTGTGTCGCCTCAACGAAATCGACTGTAGGGATCATCTGAAACTGACCCATCATGAACGCCACGGGTAGTAACCAGTGGCAACGGCCAGTCAGATGCGTGACAAGGGTATTCGCTGTTTAACTGTGTTGTGATTAGGCAGCCAAGAACTGGCCTTGGAACGGCGTGTTAGCGTGTCATGTGTGGGCATTGCCTGAC